TGCCCGCGCTGCCCGCATTGCCGGAGCCGGGGTCCACGAGATCCCGCTACCCCGGGGCTGGGTCTCTCATCGCGCAGGACAGCGGGCGGAGAGCGGCGAATGGCCTTGGCCCCGCCCGCCTCCCCCGCCCCAGTTCGAACCCAGTCTGCCCTTTCTGAGCTCCGCGACCTTGGACAGCTGACTGGCCTCTCTGAGCCTGTTTGCAAAGTGAGGCTAGTGACACCTGCTTCCCTGAGTTGTCACGACAGTCGGCTAGGACGCGAGAAAAGGCTGTGCAAACCCTAAAGGTTTACGCCGGTGACGTTTTGCAGCGATAGGAGGGGGCATTAGTCCTTGCCGCTCCAGCCCACAGCATGTAGGGGCTCTTCAGAGTCCCTGGCAGTCCCGGCCACGAAAGGTTGCCTTGGATGGGAGGGCAGGAGAGGGGCCCAGGAGTGGTCCCCTAGACCATAGAGGTGGGAGGGAGCCAGCTCATTTGCGACCAGGGCCCCATTGGCACCTGTGGGAAGCTCACAGAAGGCGTCTGTGCTCAGCAAAATGTACCCTAGGGCGGTCTGCCAACTTCTGCTTTCAGTTTCAGGGGGAGCCCATCTGTGGGCCTCAGAGCCAGGAGCCCCTCACTCCGGTGCTTAAAAGATTCAGGCCAGAGCCAAGACATTAGTGCCACTGTCCTTTCCATCATGGTACCTGGAAGCTCTGTGCATCCTAGAGCATCCAGGGAAATGCAGATGCTCCCAGCTAGCCCTTCCTTGTTGCCTTGCACCTCCATGGTCCTATTACAAGGATCACTTGTGGGCAGAAGCACTGAAACTGAGCGTGGGCAGAGGAAGATGAGGTGGTGGCCCTAGACCAGGTCTGCGGTAGAAGGCAGGGGCTTGGGACCAGCTCCTGACAGCTGGATGCTGTGGCATCTCAACGTCCTCCCCTAACCCCTCTGGGAGTGTTTCCTCTGGAGACCATTGCACTACATCCCCCAGCGACGTGGCCCACCTCTGTAAACAGAGATGGGACAGATTTGGTGACAGGCATCTTGGAGCGAAGCTAGACTAGTTCCAGCACGTGTTCGCTGGAGGTGGCCAACCACTGGGGGCTCCTCTGTGTGCCCATCCTCTTCACCACCAGGGTGGGTCAGGCCATGATAGCAGGAAGGTAGCAGGCACAGGCTCTGCCTTGGGGTGGATCAGAGGTGAGAGGGGTCCGGGGTGAAGCACAGGCCTGGCTCTGCTGGCCCCACCTGTGTACCCTTGGGGGAGTTATTTCACCTGAATGAGACTTAGTTTCCTCTTCTATCAAAAGGGGACACGAATACACGCTCCCCAGAGGGTCATCCTAAGGGGAGAGGTACGTTAGCACATATTCAGAGATGTGGGAGGCCAGTTGGTGCTGGGAGATCTGGGGTCAGAATGGAGATGTTTGCAGGGACAAAGCTCGACACAAGTGTAGGATGACCCTGTACCGCATTCCAGGTGGGAGATGAGAGGCTAGTCTATGGAGGGCCCAATGGGCAGGATGCCACCTGCCTGGCCCGACCTCGGTAGCCACCTCGAAGCAAGGGTCAAGCAGTGATTGAAATCATTCAATCATTTACCTACGGCTTCCTCTGCGCTGGGCACTGTCCCACTGTTTAGACAGACCCAACCCTGCCTGTGGGGCAGATAGAATGATAGTCCCCTGTTACAGTTTTGAGAAGTCTAGAGGAGGAAACCTGCCGGGGCTCTGGCGATAGATGGCAGGGGTAGCACTGGGCACCAGGACAGCAGTATGGAGGTGGCCTGTGACCTGGGGTGGGAGAGAGGCATGTTCCAAGGTGGGCAGGAAGCTAGGCTCGGACGAACCCACAGAAACCAGTGTGGCTGGAGCCAGCGAGGGTGTGAGGATGCCACAATGCCAGGCCTGGGTGAGGCGGGGGATAGGTGCAGTGGGCCAGCCGCCCTTGTGTGGGCCCAGGAGGTAACAGCTTGGGTTCTGCCGAAAAAAGGGGGAGGGGGTCCTGGTGATTGAGCTCACCCAGCACCTCATCAACCCAGCAGGGACAGCTGGCCGAGGAGCGGCTCCTTGAGCTGGCCCCCAGGAAATGGCCAAACCTCAACCACGGGTGTTCCATGCCATGGGCATTGTGACCCTCAATCTCAGCCGAGCTTTGTGGCCCATTAACCAACCCATCCTGGTACAACAATGCCGGATCAGGTCCTCCCCAGGTGCACCCTAGCCTCACACTTTTGCCCCTGTGCTCCATGAAGTCCAGCTCCACAGGGCTTCCCTGCACATCCAGAGCCCCCAGTACCTGGAATTCCTCAACTGCACAAGTCAGTGTGCAGTAGTGACCAGTTCCCACCCGTTCTCCCACTGGTCTCCCCACTGCCCGAGGGTGACCCCTCTGTGGCTATTCTCTGTGCCCCACCAGTCCTGCTCACCCAAACCACCGACTGGCTCTCAGGCTTTTGGGGACCAGGTGGGTTTCTCTGTTTTGTTTCTTTGGGGTCTGTGCAAACCTCCCCCCCACACAACTAGAACGAGCCTTTGCAGATCTGGGTTAGTTATAAATAGCCAGGCCTGCGACTCTCCTTTTAGCTGAAAAGAAGCTAAGTGAACAACGAGTGGAGAGGCACACCCGGCGTGCGTCTTATTTTTAATCTTCTCCCTCTGTCTCAGAGTGAGCCGAGCCCCGGCGCTCAGCCTTTCTAGGAGCTGAGGCCCAGGACGAACGCCTGGGAAACAAGATCCGGGCAGCCAAGGGCCTGGCCTCACCCTGGCTGCTGTGTGACCTTGGGCACTCAAGTTGCCTCTCTGAGCTTTGGTTTCCTCATCAGGAAAGCAGTGGAGGGGATCACCTCCAACTTCCTGCCTTGACTCCCTCCCTCTGCCCTCCCCGCAGCCTGGCCCATCCTGTTGCTCCAGCAGCGGCACCTCTCCCTGGGCTTTCCCGGGAAGCCCAGACCCGGGTACAAGTGAGGCCATGATGGAGCCTCGACTGACGATGCACAAATTCCTCACCCTGCTTTTGCTCTGGTGGCCCCCGGTCAGGACCCACAATCCTTCTGGGAAAGTCAACTTGTCACCTCCCCACTGTGAGCTGGGGAGGGCCCAACCAGGTCATGGCTGAGCAGAACCCATGGCCAGAAGCCTGAAGGCCGGTGCTTGAGCGGGAACTGGAGCCAGAGCAGGAAGCCCAGGTGTGCTGTCTGGCGGTGGCTTGGCCGCAAGGCAGGGCTGAGGGGGGGCCAGGCCCAGACCCCTAGGAGAAGCGGCTTAGGGACCACTGACAGGCGTTCCTGCACTGCAGGGACTGTACAGCTTTGTCTCTGTACCCACTCCTCACCCCTCACCCCCAACCTTGCCTGTAGCCAGGACTCAGTGTTGATGGAGTTTGGGAGACACTTGCTGGGCCCGGCCTGGGCCTCTGGGCACACATGGTGATAGTCCCTTACACAGCACTTTCCCACCCCTACTCCACTGACTGCACAAGTCCCTGCCAGGTGGGCTTGGGTTAATGATGAGGAAACCAGGCTCAGAGAAGTTAAATGACTTGTCTAAGGTCGCACAGCTGGATACATTTAGGAGGCTGACCCAGGCTTTTTTTGAAATCTGTGTGTATTAAATCTTTAAAAACCCGGTAGTCTTGAAGCAGCAGGAAATGGCCTTTCTGTGTTGTGAGTGCCCTGGGAACCAACAGACAGGGCTAGTGGCTCCACCCTGACTCCCCAGTGAGAAGTTGGCCAGGGGCACCGGGGCTCCTGGACCTGCTGCCCTGCCTCTGCCCTCCTCACCCCAGGTACCTGCCTTTTGATGTCCTCAGGGAGGGAGGCCGGAAGGCTGGGCGATGACTTCAAAGAGGAAATCCCTGGTGCTAACTGGTACTCAGAGACCTTTAGGCTAATTAACCTGTTTATTTGTCTCTCTAGAGTAAATAGGAGGGTTCAGCTGGGGAGGCGGAAGAGCGAGGTGTCTGCTGGTGACACCTCCGTGAGGGCAGTGGAGGGCTTCACGGTGGGTGGCCTGGGCCCTGGGGAGGCTGCGGAGGGGGTGGGCTGTTGGGCAGCAGTGACACCCAGGAACCGGAGGTAGGGCCACCCTCCTCAGTGCAGCTCACGTCCTCATGGGGCTGCTCTGCCAGCAGTTCTGGGCACTGGCGAGCACCCACCGGGACTCTAGGGTCTCCTCCAGGCAGCCGGTGGTGCTGACTCCCCAGGAGGGAGAAGGTGCTGGAAGGAGTGAGGCAGAATCATCCACAGGAAGAATCTCGCTGCATTGTTTTCTCCCAGCCTCTGCACCCTAGACATGCCATGCGGAGCCCCCTCCTTGCAGGGCACCAGGCAACTACATACCCCTTGGTCACAGTCTGTGGACTGCCCACCAATTGTGGTTGGGGGCGCAGCTCTTTTTATATAAGATGCTGGCCTGTTCACACTAAATCTTGAGCCTCAGACCCCGTTGCAAGCTTTCTTCTCGTCCCCACAGCTGGCCAGGCTGGTCTGCGCTCTCCACGTTGTAGAGCTGTTGCAGGTGGGAAGGAGGGTCTTGGCTGGTCCCCTCGCCCCACCCCAGGCTCCCCTCTGGTGCACGGTCATAGTGGGGAGGCACCCTGTGACCCTGGGTCCCGCAGGGGTAGCTGCTGCCCCTCAGGCCACTGTTTCAGGCTGATGCCCCCTGGTCACAGGCAACCAAAGGTGGGATGTTTCGGGATCCCCTGGGGCCTGGTGGTTCCCACCCCAGCTCATCACTCGCAGCCTCGAGCAGGCAGCTCAGGCTCCGCCTAGCAGCAGGGAGGAGGGGGATTTGCAATTGAGCTTGTCAGATTCCCCTGGCCGCTCCTGCTCCCGCTCCCAGCCCAGGGTGGGGGTGGCCAGCTAGCCCACCTTCAGCACCTGTCCTGTCCCGCAGGGGCCCAGGGCATTGTCAGCAGCGGCCTGATCCCCTCGCTGGTGTGGAAGCTGCAGAGGGAGGAGGAAAGGATCCAGGCGCTCCTCCTAGACACACTGGCCGCCTGCCTGATGGAGGATGCCACAGAGGCGCTGGCCAGCTGCGTGGTGCCCTTCCTGAAGGAGAAACTCCTGAGCGCCAACAGCGACATCCGCGCCAAAGCCGCCCGCACACTCATCGCAGTCAGGTGAGGCCGGCCACTGGATGAATGAAGCGTGGAGCGTGGGAGGGGCGGACCCGGAGCTTCTGCTGAGCTGCCCCTGGCCCAGCAGCAGGTCGACGGTGGGGCCATCAGGCTGCCCGGAGCTCTGGGGCATCCGCCCAGGGTCTGCTTCCCCTCCCCTGCCCTGGGGGAAGAGGACCCCTTCACTTGGGCAACGGCCTACAAGTGCTGGGGTACAGCCCTGACAGTCCTGTGTCCCAAGGAGCCCTCGGTCCTGGTAAAATGAGACTGTTGGTCCCGCCTCCCTGAGGAAGACAAGCACGGGAGAGTGAGTAGTGATACAGTCTGCACAACCAGACACCCCTCTGAGGAAGGTCAGGGAGCGGAGCTGCAGGTGTCTAGTCACTAGACACCCAGGGTCACCGATGATCACAGTCTCAGTGCTGGAGCTTGAGGGCTCACAGAGCCTCAGAGTTGCGAGGGAGGGAGGCGGTGTGTGATCCCAGACAGGGATGCTTCCTGAGGACCGGCCCTAAGGCTGTGCTTGCCTGTGGCCACCTCCCTTCATCCTGCCACCCCCTGGCTCCTGGGTGGTCTGGCCTCTTGTGGCCCTGGGCCGTGATCCCAGGTCGTCTGAGTGTAGGGGTGGGACCCAAACCTCACATCACTGCTCCCCTGCACCCTAGAGTCCTGGCGACCAGGGATGGTCCCAACACAAGTCCTTTCCCAGTGATTCCCCTGGGGTGGTCCTGAGCCCTGTCCCCCTCTCCTTCCAAGTGAAGCCACTCAGTTGTCCCCTCTCTGGCCCAGCATCCCTCTGGAGGGCAAGAACCAGGTGTGGCAGCATGATGTCATCCCCATCCTGGTGCACCTGCTGAAAGACAAGGTGGACGAGGTGCAGGCCAATGCGGCCGGGGCCCTCATGTACGCCACAGTGACCACCAAAGGTGAGGCCACCTGCCGGCTGGGCACCCCCGGGCCTGCGCTGGGCCTTGCTGTGTGTGGGTCACCGCAGCCCCTAGGAGGCGGGGTACTGTCCCTCCCTGGCCCGCCAAAGCTCTCCTCCTGGCCTGTTGTGAAGTCCTTCCAAGTTTGGGTCTCAGGTTCCACCCTCTTCTTCTTCCCAGCCACCGTGGGCCTACCGACTGGGGCCCCTCCTGGGTCATTCTCTCTGCTCCCCGGTTTTGGAATTCCTGCCTCTGACCCAGGCCCCTCTGAGCTGAAATCCTGGGATTGATTTGTTTGCTGTCCATGAGTCGGTTATCCTGAGGTCAAAGCAAACACTGGGGCCCTTGCCTCTGTGGTGTTGATCGACTCGTGTTCCTTTTCTCAGTGTGGAGGGGACAAATAAGAGTGTAAGGTTATCTCCCCACCCCGGACTCCCAGCCAGCCAGGCATCCGTGCTGTCACCCCACTGGGTGATCAGAAGGGACCGGGCTGGTTTCCCCACCTGGAGGTGGGGGTGGGCCGGCCCTCCCTGCAGGACCTCTGAGAGCTGTCTGACCTCCATATGCCTGTGCTCACCTGTGCCCGCCCTGTGTCCTGGGCTTCCTTGCTGTTCCATGAGGACTGGCCAGGCCTCTCCTCAATCAGCAAGCTGCAAAGCCCTCAGGCATGGCCCCCCGTGGTGGAATCTGGGCACACCACGGGGAGAGGCTGGGCCTTCCCAGCGCCCACAGCCCCCTCTGACCGATCGTGCGTGCTGTCAGGATGCTGACTGCCAGGGCAGCCTCAGCACAGTGTTTTACTTGGGCTTCCTGTACGGGCACTGGGAGGGCCAGAGAGTTGGGCCCAGGCAACGTGGGAATTCAGGGATGTGAGGCCATTTTCCCCTGAGCTGGCACTCCATCCAAGATTCCCTGAGCCCCTGCCACATGCCAAGCCCTGCGTTGGGTGTTGGGGACTGGATGTCTCAGCCTCTGCTATCTGTGGTTTGGCAGGAGTGATGAGTGACCTGGGGAGGCAGAGGGCACAGCACCAGGGCAGAGCATATCTGGGAGGGTGTGGTGTTGACTCAAAGGATGATGGGAGTTATCAGGGCAAAGGAGGCTGGGCAGGTCCCACAGCAAAGAGGAGAGAGCTCCGTGCGGGGTGGGGGCAGCCACATGCCCTTTTAGCAGGCAAGGGGTGGGCAGCGAAAGGTTAAGGAGTGGCATCTCCTTTTCCCCATAATCTCTGCATCCCCCACTGGACTGTAAGTACCAAGAGGGTGAGTTTTTGTGCCTGGTGCAGAGTAGGTGCTCAGGAAATATTTACCCCACGAGTGAATGATTAGGCATTAATTTTTAAAAGATCATTCGTGTTGCCTTGCAAGGACTGGACTGTGAGACAGGCGCCTGGGTGGTTGAGGAGAAGCCAGCTGAGGGGCAGGGTGGGGGGGCCCAGGGGGCCAGGGAGGGAGCGGGGCCTGTGGTTGGGGGGGCCGGGGAGAGGGAGGCTGGGGAGGGCTGGGGGCGAGGGAGGAGGGCAGAGGCCCCCGGGAATACGTGGTGTTGGTGGCCCACAGGGAAGTACGCGGCCCTGGACGCAGAAGCCATCCGTCCGCTGCTGGAGCTGCTGCACTTGTCCTCTAGCAAGGTGCGCCTGAACGCCATCAAGGCCCTCACCATGCTGGCTGAGGCCCCCGAGGGCCGCAAGCTCCTGCAGGCCCACGTGCCCACTTTCCGCGCCCTTGAGAAGGACGCCAGCGCAGCCGTGCGGCAGGCAGCCCAGATCGCCATCCAAGTCATTGAGTGGAAGCCCTGAGCCTCCTAGCAGGCCAACTTGCTGACTCCATGCCTGAATAAACGCACTGTATCCCCTCCCCTGGGTCTGACCGACACTTGATGTTCCTAACACGGTCTCTCCTCTCTCTGGCCAAAGGGAGAATGCCCAGCCTGGAAGGACTGGGAGGCATGGGCTGAACCCAGGCCCAGGGACAGGTGCGAGGTATCTCTGCTCCCTGCTGGGGCCAGGAGTACCCTGGGAAGGGAGAGCGCAGGGCCGAGCCTCTAGGGACAAGGTGGGGGCAGGGAGCCAGGTGGGGAAGGAGCACAGCTGGACTAGGCACCACCCAAGCCAGACACTCGAGTGACCTTGGGGTGGGTGTGGCTGGCACGGCCCTGCTTGCCAGATCTGCCTCTTCTCACCTTGGTTGACAAGGACACAGGTGCCATTCCCTGCGGGCTCTTGCCTGGAGGAGGGTGAGTTGTAAGAGGCCCTCAGCCCCATCCCATGGATGTGCACTCAGAACAGGGTAGCTTCCTTAAGATCATCCCCCAAACAGCTGGGTTCTCCAAAGCCAAGTCACCTAAGTAAGCTAAGGCCGGCCACGCCCCCAGCCCTCCCCCTGCTGCCTGCTGGGTCCCAGGCGGCCTGGGGGAGCCTCCCACCTGTGCCTCCCCCTGCCTCCATTCTCCCGCAGTGAAACTGGCTAAGAGGCCAGAGAGCCTGGCAGGAAGGAGAAGCCAGGCTTGTGGGGGAGGAGGCATGGGGACTCCCTGGTCTCCCGGCCCCCCTGCCCAGTTCGGCAGGGTTCTGACCTCTGTTGGAGAGACTGCAGAAGCCACTCAGCTTCAGGGCTGGACTCACTTGTCGGGGCTGAGCGGGAGCCTTGCTCTCTCCGGGAGCTTTCTGCGCTCCCCGCCTCACAGGAGTCTCCCTCATTATGTCACCAACCAGCAGCCGTGCTTGCTAGGACAGAGCCTCCGCAGATAGGCAGTCCCCGCAGAACCAGAACCCCAGGTGAGTGCCTTCTTGCAGTCCTTTCTGTGACTGGGGCCTTTGCTCTCCTAGAAGAAACACAGTGATGTTTGTGTCCCTGGGATTGCAGAACCGGCCCAAGCAGGCCCCCTTGTTCCAAGAAGGACTGGCTGCTGGGCTCAGCTGCAGTTTCAGGTTAAATCTCATTCTCGAAAGAGGTCCCAAAAGAGGAAATCTTTCCTCCTTCAGGAAAACAGGTGCTTGAGGGGCTCCATGTCCTCATGTCCCCACCCTGCCTCAGCTGCAGCAGGCTGGCTCCACCCCCATCCCCCCACCTCGAGGGGCTCTGGTCCAAGGGCTCTGGCCTCCTTGCTGCCAAGACCCCATGCTTTTTGTGCTTGGCCCACGCGGTGGCCTGGATGCCAGTGCTCCCTTCCTGTGGTGGCTGTCTTGGACCTCCTCCCAGGGCCGTGGCTGTGCCCACTTGGTGTCTTTTGTAAAGAACCCTCTTTTTTTGATCTGACGAGGGGTGCTGGTGCTTCTCACAGGTCTGTTCTGCTCTCCCGCACAATCTCATCTGCCTGACCAGGGCCTCCTCTACCAGATTCCCCTTAGCTAGGCCAGCCCACTGTCCTCTCTCCCCCAAATCTGGGTCTCTAGTGCCAGTCCATCTCCTGTCCAATTTAACACTCCAGGCAAGAATTAATACCAATCCTTCACAAACTAGTAAAAAAAAAATTGAATAGGAGGCAACACTTCCCAACTCGTTCCATGGGGCTAATATCCCAAGGAAAGAAAACTACAGACCAATATCCTTTATGAATATAAACACAAAAACTCAACCAAATACTAGCAAACCAAATCCAGCCACATAAAAAAGTATTATACACCGTGATCAATTTATCCCGGGAATGCAAGTTTGGTTTAACATATGAAAATGAATCAAAGTAACATTTAAATAGAATAAAGGACAGAGACCCATGATCATCTTAATAATACAGAGAAAGCATTTGACTAAATCCAAAAACCATTCATAAAAAAAAAAAACCCAAAGCCAAAACTTAAACAAAAACTCTCAGCAAAGTAGGAACAGAGGAGAACTTCTTCAACATGATAACATCTGCAAAAACTTACCACTAACACCACACTCAATAGTGAAAGACTAGATGCTTCCCCCTAAGATCAGGAACAAGACAAGGATGCCTGCTCTTACTACATCTACTGGACATTGTACTGGCAGTTTTGGCAAGAAAATGAAATAAAAGGCACCCAGATTGGAAAGAAAGAAGTAAGCTATCTCTCCTTGCAGACTACATGATTTTATATATGAAAAATCCTGAGGAATACACATAAAAATATTAGAACTAATAAATGAGTTCAGGAAAGTTGTAGGATCCAAGAGCAATATACAAAAATTGTTTTTCTGTATATGAGCAGTAAACAATGTAATTAAGAAAAGGGGTAGGGATTAGGAAGTACAAACTATTACATATAAAATAATCTACAAGGAAATATTGTACAACACAGGAAATATAGCCGATATTTTATAATAACTATAAATGGGATAGGACCTTTAAAAATTGTGAATCACTATGTTGTACACCTGTAACTTATAATGTACATCAACTATACCTCAATTTTTAAGAAAGAAAACAATTCCATTTACAGTAGCATCAAAAAGAAGAAAACACCTAGGAATCAATTTAATAAAAAGAAGTGCAAAACTTGAGTGCTGAAAACAAAACATTGTTGAAAGAAATCAAGGAGGACCTAAATAACTGGGCGGACATCCCATGTTCATGGATCAGAATACTTCTACTGTCGCGGCAGCAATAAGTATCTTCATGCAGCTCAAATTCAGCATGTCCTAAAAGGTGCTCCATTTTTCACTCGCACCTGCTCCTTTCCAGTGCGGCCTGTCTTTGGAACTGGTGCACCCTTTGCTCACGTGCTTGAGCCAGTCGCTTCCTCTGGAAGTCTAGTCACTCAAGTCCTGTCTCTTCTACTTGCTGGCTTCTCTTGATGCCTTTCCCTTGTTGGTTCTCTGCTGCTAACTCGCCTGGAGTCCTCTAATACCCTCCTGGTGGGTGTTTCTGTCTCTTTCATCTTTTTTTTGTTTAATTAATTATTTTTCATTTTCCAAAACCAGAACATTTATTGCATGACTAATCACTGAAACCTTTAAGATGAACTGGGTGCTGCAACAGCCGCCCTCTCGGGTTTAGGTGTTGTTCCTTCACGGAATCCATGCCTGCATCTGCAGTGTACAATTTTTCGGTGCCTCATTCGGCCGGTCCTGGTGGTATTTCGTCTTTCAGCTTTAGCACTCCAGGTATAATTTCTCTTTTGCTGGCAGGGTAGCCACGTTTGCCACAGGTCGACTTCTGAAGGTGGTAGGCCTTAGAGCCACATCGGCAGCATGATGTGTGTTTCTTGTTCCAGCCCTTTCCAAACGATGACCTTGACTTCCTCACCTTGCTTCTGTGGGCAAGACCAAAGAGCTGCCTCCCTTTCGTCTTTCCAGCAGCATCCAGCAAACCTGACCCTATCACTTCCAGCCGAAGATCCCAGGGACTCGGGGTCCTAAAGCATCTGAGGCCTGCAGGTCGGGCCCTGCCCACTCTGCCCTCCCTGAGCCCACAGTTCTACTGTGCACAGGCCTCCTCGCACTCTTGCCTTGCCGTGTCTTCCCACACGTTGCCCGCTGATCAGCTAGGTGCCCTCCTGCTTCAGTCACGGGAGGCCTTCTCCTGTGGGCCCTCCTGCAGTGTGCATGTGCCTGCAGGGCCGGTGCGTGGCCTTGCTCCAGGCCTGTGCCCACTCCCCATTTTCTAGGTTCCCTTGCTGAGCCTCCGTCTCCTCCTCTGTGGAATGTGGTTGGTTCTAATCCTTCCATGTGGGGTGGCTCCACAGCTGGCATGTGACAACCTGGGTAGGAAAACCACAGGCCACCTGGGATGCTGGCCATCACTGCTGGCATTCACTGTCTGCTGCCCTCACAGACCACAGGCTCATCCAGGACTGCCCCGAGCAGTGGCTGGCACACAGTACAGCAGGCAGTCAAAAATGTCAGCTGAAGGACTAAACAAGGGCTGAGGGGCTGGTCCCGAGTGCTCCTTCAGAGTGTGACTTCTGCAGTGCTAGGTGGGCCCCCTACCAAGATCACTTCAAAGCATCTGAAACTTTTTCTAAAGACATGAATCATTTATTTTGGTCTGAGAAGAAAGAAGAGGAAGGAGTGGCTTAGAAGCCCCTAAGGAAACAGCCTGGAGCGGCCTATACCTGGCAGCTAAAGGGAATCTAACCCTGCACCCAACCCCTAGCAGAGTCCCAACAGCAGGCCGACTGAAGCGACTGGGAAGAGCTCCGTAAGGAGGAGAGTGTCCTCCCCACCTGCCACCCAGGGGTGCAGCCAGGCAGTGCCGAGCTGGAGGGAGGCCCATTGCTTGGGCAGGGACTGCCTCAGCCCACACTGGTCCAGGCAGGAGCCAAGATTTTCATCCAGCAGGTCTGGCGCCAGCTGGCCTTTGTGGTCACCAGCAACGGGCACGCCCCTGTGGGTGGGACCCTGGTGTGGGGAGGAGCATCTTTCCAGCAGCCATACCTTTACAGAGGAGGAGAGAACACAGCAAACAAACAGAAGGTGGGTACGGGAAGAAAATGGTGACAGCAAAGTAAACACAAGCAAAACCCCCAAATATATCTAGAGATAAAAAGCCAAAATTAAATTTAAAGTGGAAGTCAGTGTTTGTGCAGTAGAGCCATTTGGAGAGAATGAGTCATTTCACAAGGGAACAGACGTTCTCATTTGCAGTCTCTGCACTCGCCGATGGGCTTCACTGCCCTGTCGGCCCACACGCCCTGCAGCTGCTGGCACGTGCCGCGTGACAGAGGGCGCGTTCTCATCAATGTGATCCTCGGTCCCTGGTCCATGGCCTCCCGGCCGGATGCGCTTCCTCCCCTCGACAAGGGCGTCTGTGAGAGGCAGTGGCTGCCCGCTCCCCAGCGCCCAGGGCCGGCCGCCCTAGGAGAAGTAGAGGAAGCAGAAGACTGTGAGCAGAATCAGCAGGAAGCTGCAGATGTTGGACAACTTTCTCAAGCAGGGCGTCTCTGAGATGTCATGGAGCTCTGTCCCTTTTGATGCATCACCACACTCTGTCCCTTCAGATATGTCACCATGCTCCATCTTCTGCACACTGGCCTCTCCTGGGGCCACTTTAGGGCTCGGCAGTGGCTCCAGGCCACAGTACACGTCCCAGGCCTTCCAGAGGCAGGTCTGGGCCTCCCTGAATATGCCTGCAACAGAGGGAACAGGGGCCAGTCAGGAGGTGCTGGCCAGGAGGGAGGTCTTCCTAGGGGCTGATGGCTCAGTGGTGAGTCCAGCAGGAAGACCAGCAGACTCGCTCCTAATATGCAGAACACTCTAGCCCCAGCTTCAGAACACGAGCAGACATCCTCAGAGACATGGGAGAGCAGGACCCTGGGGTGCATCCTGGGGTGCAGTAGGGTGGAGTGGGGCTGCCTGGGCCAGGCCTGCCTTGCAGTGGCAGAGCCTTCAGCCTGCCTAGGTGCCCAGCTGTCACCGGGCAAGCCTGCCCTTCCCGACTGCAGGTCCAGGGCAAGTGGCTGCTGCTCTGATGGTGGAAGAAGCCTCAACTGCTCTGCTCTCCTCAGCACCTGGTGAGTGCTGTGCTTCTACAGGCAGATACTGGGCTCACGGCCTGGCCCAAAGGAAAGCTCTCTGGGCCCCTGAAAGGGGCATCACGGGTGTTTTCCCCAGGAAAGGAGGGAAGTCTAGGAATTACAGGAAAGTTACATTCATTCCTCCAGGCCTTGAATGGCCCTCCAGTGTCTGGGTGTCTGGTCTCCCTGGCCTGCTCAGGCACAGGTCAGCACCACGGCCAGCTCCACACACCCACGTGGGCCTGGCTGCGCCTGAGAATGGGGTTCCTCCTTGAGACAAGACAAGTACGCTCCGAGCAGTGTGTGCTGTGACCAGGTCAGTGTCTCATCCCGCTAGGCAGCCTCTGTGCCAGCTCTGCTCTGAGGCTGAGGCAGCACCAGGGATGACAGAAATCATCAGCCAGTGCCGGAGGGGCCTCTGTTACAGGGCAGGGTGCTGCCCTGGAGGGACCCAGAGACACACACACCTGTACGTTCGGGCGGTTGTGAGCAGCACACCCTGGCCTGGTCTCTAGCACATTATCATGCAGCTGCCAGGGCCCAAAAGGTTGCCATATGTACATGGCAACTGATCATGTGACCAACATGATGGACCACAGGCCAGGGGCTGTAGGACAGGTCGGGGAACTGGCCAAGAGCACACGTTTTGGGGTCAGACTGCTTGGTTCAAACCCTGGTTCCCCCAGTGCTTGGTTATTTGAGGAGCCTGGGGAAGATTACTGGACTGTTCAGTGCCTCAGCCTCCCATCTCGAAAATGGGGATATGACCGTGCCTTTCACACGTTGGTATAATTTCCACAGTCCTTGACCCATCCCAAACAGGCAATGAATGTGAGCCACTGTCGTCACCATCATCCACCCGTGGCTGTGGGGTGAGGGAGGAGAGGGGCCTGGAGGTGCACCAAGAATGAGCGGCCCACACACTGAGGGCCCTGATGAGCAGTTCCTCCCACCTCTGAGGGAGCGCAATCCTGGGAGGCCGGCATCCTCCAGGGGTGTGGGGCAGCCTAGCTCAGGCCCTGCAGGTGTCAGGAGAGGGTCTCCAGCCCCTCTGGGCTCTGAACGTCCCCAGCAGGAGTGGAGAGGGAGCCCCAGAATGCCGCCTCCTCCCAGGCAGGCCGTTCCCTCCCTCCCTCCTCCAAACTCACAGCCTCCCCACCTCTCTGCCCCAGACTCAGCACTAATCTTGTTAGGCCCTTATCCCTGTTGCGTCAGGGCCTCGAGAGGCGCAGGTCACCCTCCTGTGGCCCCAACGCCCCTTCTCTGACCCTGTCTGCTGAAAGATTCCTTTTGGGCCCTCCAGAGCTCCCAGGCCCGAGCCTGTCCTGGAACACTCTCAGACTGAGATCCAGCTGTCCCTCACCTGGTTCCCCTGGTGCCCTCTGCAGTGGGGCTGCTTCCCCTCCTCTTTGAGGACCATCTCCTGCCCACTTCCCAGAAACCCTCTGGGTCTGAAACCCTGTGCGAGACTCCAGGACCTGCCATCCCTTCCCCGGTTCCCAGTGCTTCTTCCTCTCTACTGGGTCGCTCCTGCTGAGGCACAATGTGATCTCTGTGTAGCTAAATCCCACGGCTGGTCAGCAGATGCCTCCGTGGACCCCTCCACCCCGCCCGAAATGCTTCTAGATCACCAGACACTTGTGTTTCTCTGCCCCTCACATTACACCAGACCCTTTCCTCCTGCCCTGGCACCTGCTCCCAGGGCTGACCCTCTCAGGTGTATCTCTCCAGCCCAGACAGCCACATGAATGTCTGAGAGGCATCTCAACCCACACAAACACCCCCAAGGCTCCTCTGGGAAAAGGAGAGGGGGTCTCCCCTGGCAGTGGAGCCAGCAGGGTGGGGGTGCTTGGGTGGCAGCACAGGACCTGCCGCAGGCTTTAGATCTCCCTTCTCACCTGGCTGGGCCTGCGGTGTGGGCCTCTTCCATCGTATTTCTTCATCCAGATCTACCCTTTCTTCTTGGCTGTTCCGCAAACTCCAACAGAGGCGGTGGAGCTAGGGGGAGAGAAGGGGCATGTCACCACCTGGGGCTTTGTCACGCAGGCCTTACAGTGCCACAGCTGGCAGCTGAGTGCTGGGGTCTCCAAGGACTGAAAAAAGATGTGGCTGTTAGACTGCAACAAGAGATGGAGGGAATGCGGGTGGGGAAAGCCTGGCGCTGGGAACCCTGGATTTTAGTTCTGGCTCTGGTACCCTGTGGTGTGTGGCCTTGCAAAGGGTGGCCTCCGTGTCCTGGGCTGGACAGTGAGGGGTGGTGGTGGGGGCAATGCGCTCAGGGCTCCTTCCAGTTCTGTGCCCTTCAGGGTGGGAGAAGCCACCCATAATGCCTGGCCTGCTGCTTCCGGTGGACGAGCCCGTCAGGGCCAACCCAGGAACTGCATTCCTTCTGGAAGCCCCTCCTGGCTGTCAGAGATGAGCCCTCACACGGCCCAGAAGAGGCTTTACCTGGTTCACCTGGGGTACCGGGTTCACCTGGCCCTGGCCCATCACTCACGCTCAACAAGGCTTTTGCAGATGCCTTTCCCTTCTGGTCTGTTATTTTGTTCTCTTCCTAAAAACACATATGGAAACTCTGGGCAGGAACAAAATCCAGCCAATTGTTGCCTTTTTTTTTAAGGGTTGGGGTCAGTAGAAGCATAACTAAACGAACATTGCCACCAAGTCTGTCCTGAAATAGATTTTAGTCTATTATGCTAGACTTGGTATATGTGAATCTCAGCACTCCCTCAATCTCCCAAAACGTGGTGGGATGTGAATGAGTGGGGCTGGCCCCTCCCCAGCCAGCCCCTCGAAGCCCCACCTCTCAGACTGAAATGGCAGTGGTGAAAATTCCGTTGTATTCATGACAGAGACCAGGTTTAGCCCTGAGCTGCTTCCTGACAATGCTGTGAGGTCACATTTGCCTCCCCAGCCTCCCGGTCAGCCCTGCAGGCCAGACCACCGGGCAGAAGGACCTGGGCTCCGCGCGGTCCTCCCTCCCCGCACAGCAGTGTGGTGACCCGCAAGCTTGGTCTCCCACTTCTCCCACCTCCCCTCCCCTCCAGAGCACCCGCACACAGACGGGTAGGAAACACTCAAGCAGGAGGCTGCCTGAGAAGCGGGCAAGACCAAAAAGGTGAGAGTAAGAGCAGCAGAAAAGAAGTCAGACAAGCTGACCACCTGAGCCGCTGAGCCGCAGAACTCAGGCCCCCTACCCCGCCCCAGCTTCTCAGGTGCTGGGAGCAGAGTCGGGGACACGTGGCGGGTGAGTGCATCCCGGACACTCCTGACTGTCCTCCCCATTCGCCCCATCCCTCTCTAATGAGGCTCTGTGTGCAAGAGAGGAACAAATCACATGGGAACTACTGAGCAGAGAGGTGGCCAGAGGGAGGCCCAGTCTGAGCTGAAGGCCCCTGAGGCTGTCTTCCACGTTTCCAGCTTTCACCCAGACCCCAGGGCACACAGGTCTTATAGACCCACCTACCCTCTGAGCTCCCCTCTCCCTCAACCTGGACATCCAGGACCCTCCCTGCTGCTTTTGGGCTCAGCTAGGTCCCTGCCCTACTAAACGTATCGGCCATGCCCAAGTAGGTGACAAGGTGGAGCCTAGTCGGGGCCCAGCCTTGCCACTTACAGCTCTGGTGTCGTGGACAACCGACTTGACTTTCTAATGTTACAACTGGGGAGACTGGCACCTGCCTCCCCAGAGGTCGGAAGTGGCTGTGCTAGGAGAATGAGGCGTGTGTGCGGCCACAGGTCACAGTGCAGCCAGCATCACTGTCCCCTTCCTGCTGGCTTAATCCCCTCCAGGTGGGCCTTGATTACATTAATTCATACTCAGGTTAGCAAACCTAACACTTCAAAGAAAATTTGCATTTTAAAAGCCGAACTTCTCATTCTCAGTGAATACTTAATTGAGGATGGTGAAAAGCTTTTTTGTTCCGTTTTGTTGTTAAGGCAAGGCCCTTTCTGTGTTATTTGCCTATTTTTGACCCATTCATCATCTCCAACCCCCAGCCCTCCCACTTTCGAGGAGAAGGCGGGAAGAATTCAGCCACTTCTCCACAACGCTCATGGGGAAGCAGGGACTGTGGGCTGACCCCGGAGCATCCTTAAGGCAGCACTTACGTGTTTATCTGGAATCCGGTCTGTGAGTAAGGAGATCCCCAGGACAGTGAAGAGGCTGATGGTGAAGAGGATTATGGCAAAATAGAGGTAGTGCATGCTGCAGATGATCAGAGGGCACTTGTCATTTGCCAAGCAGCTCCAGGTCCCATAGGAAAACTCAGACACCATTCGACAGAAGCCAATCAAAAGTCCACTTGTCAGCCCCCAGAAGGCACCCTGCCAAAGGAGGAGCCCCCAGAGTCACCTGGGAGGAAGACGGGGGATGAGACAGGCCACCTGCAGCCTGGCCTCCCGACCAGTCCAGCTCTACAACTGACCTTGTCATAAGGGCAGAAGCAGAGTGTTAGCACCGTGAGGAGAGGACTCCTCCTTGGGCTGAGCGAGGACCTGAGATGCCTGCATGCTCTCCCAGGTCAGTCAGAGAGCTTGGGAAACACTTGGAGGCCCTGTAAGTTAGATGATGAATAGGCATCTCAAAGGTGATGTGTCCAAAGAGGCCTCAGTCTTCCCTGCTGCTGTGACTGGCCCCTCCACCTGCCTGGCTGCACAGGCCGAAACCCCATGAGTCATCCCCAGCCCCTTTCCTCCCATCTTGCCCCACCACCGACCCGTCAGCAGATCCTACGATCATTTCCATGTCCTGACCCCGATCCGGAACCACCATCTGCTCTCACACAGGTGGGCCCTCCACCGCTCTCCAGCTGTCCCCCGAAACATGGACTAGGGAGCCCTGCTTCTGCTGAAGCCCTGACAGCCCGCCCTCAGAAGCAAGTCTCACCTGCCCTAGCTGACCTCACCTGGCTCTGCCCTCTCCCCTGGGCGGTCCACTCCAGCCACTTCCTGTGCCTTCTTTTGTGTGTGGGTCCTGCCCACTGTGCTGCCCGCCGGGCCTTTGCACTCGCCCTTCTCTCTGCCTGGATCTCTCCTAGATCACATCCTTCAGGATTCAGGTTCAAGGTCACTTTCTTAGGAGAAATCTTCTCCCACCATCTTGGCTGATGTCCTTGTGTCCCCCTGCTCCCAGCACCTGCCCTGCCAATCTCCACAATCCTTTTTTACTTTTAAACAGCACCACACCAATCTCAGAAGTCTTTATCTGCTCACTGGGTATCATCTGTCTCCTGCAACCAGACAGGCCCATCTTTAAGAATGAGGACTTCACCTTTGTGCTGGAGCTGTACCCGGAGGCTGAATGAGGTATGGTCACACGAACTCCCACCTACCTGCTCAGTGACTCTCTTGCAAAACATGGCGAGCAGGAAGACAGCAGCAATGGGCGGCGTCAGGTAGCTCAGAACTGCCTGCATGTATTCAAACAGTTGCTCCTTGTTAGCCACCTGTATAGCAGGCACCCAGGCAATGGAGACAGCGAGTAAGACTATAACAAAAAACCTGTAAGTTAAATCAAAAGTCAGTGGTAATTTGAAGATTTTTTTTCTTTCTAATAAAGTATCTACAAGCCATAAACTATTAGCCAGACTTTTTTTAAAAACTGAAGCGTAGTCAGTTTACAATGTCAGTTTCTGGTGTACAGCATTATGTTTCAGTCACACATAAGCACACATATATTCGTTTTCATATTTATTTTCATTACAGGTTACTACAAGGTATTGAATATAGTTCCCTGTGCTATATGGAAGAAACCTGTTGCTTATTTTATATATACTAGTTAATATTTGCAAATCTTGAACTCCCAATTTATCCCTACCCACCCCTTTTCCCCCGGTAACCAACCACAAGATTGTTTACTATGTCTGTGAGTCTGTTTCTGTTTTGTAGATGACTTCATTAGTGTCTTCTTTTTTCAGATTCCACATATGAATGGCATTATTTTATTTTTCCTTTTTTAAGGCTGATTAGTGTTCCATTGTACAAATACACCACAACTTCTTTATCTAGTCATCTGTCCATGGACACTTAGGTTGTTTCCACATCTTGGCTACTGTAAACAGTGCTGCTGTGAACATTGGGGCACATGTATTTTCTCAAATTAAGAGTTCCCTCTGAATATATGCCCAGGAGTTGGATTACTGGATCATATGGTAAGTCTATTTTTTAGTTTTTGGAGGACTCTCCATACTGTTTTCCACAACGGCTGCACCAAACTGCATACCATCAACAGTGTAGGAGGGTTCCCTTTTCTCCACACCCTCTCCAGCAATTGTTTGTGGACTTTTTACAGATGGCATTCTGACTGATGTGAGGTGATACCTCATTGTAGTTTTGATTTGCATTTCTCTTATAATTAGCAATATTGAGCATTTTTTTCATGCCTATTGGCCATTGGTATGCCTTCTTTGGAGAACTGCTTCTTTAGGTCTTCTGCCCATTTTCAGATTGGGTTGTTTGCTTTTTGTTATTAAGTTGTATGAGCTATTTGTATATTCGGAAATGAAGTCCTTGTCAGCTGAATCATTTGCAAATATTTTCTCCCATTCCAAAGGTTGTCATTTTGTTTTACTTATGGTTTCCTTTGCTGTGCAAAAGCTTATAAGTTTAATTAGGTCCCATTTGTTTATTTTTGTTATTAGCTAGTTTTAATTGTTCCTTAGGTTAGATTCGGGGCCCACTTATCAGTGTGGCAGAGGAAATATCATTCCCCTAAACACTAACAGAACTGACCATAGGGCCGCAGGCAAAACCCTTCAACTGCTGGACAAATAAAACTGAGTGTCCATTTGCCTGTTACTGGATCATGGGTAGATTCTCACCACAGCTGGATGGTGTGTTTGAGGTGGTCATGCTGAAAATATATAATACATAGAAAGTATTCATTTCTTGAGGGGTAATACATTTCTAAAAACTTCATATGATTACAGTATCTGATTTTAAAGATTTGTATAAACTCCCCTTAAGCCCTTGGCTGTGCACATGGGGAAGAATTTCCAAATAGTCCACCAACTAGCAACTGCTGGAAGGCAGAAAAAGCTGAGCAAAGATTTCCTTGGCTGCCTATAGCAGGGGAGACAGAAACTGGAGTCTGAATCTCATCAAGTTAGAGGGCCCAGGTACCACTTCAGGCGTCTCACTGAAACCCCCCAAGGGCCATGCCTTAGAAGCATAGGCTGTATCCCAGGACTAAGAATTTGCTATAAAACTAGACCAAACTGAAACAGAGACACCCTAACAAAGTATAAGAAACCACGCCTCCGCAAGTTTAAGGGGATCAGCTAGTAATTTACCTGCATGCTAAAACAAAAACCAATATTCTTCAGAGGAATGTGATCGAGAATTTCTATAAAGTATGACCTACAATGTTCAGTATATAACAAAATTTTCAAGACATGTGAAGAGATAAGAAATGCAACCCATGGTCAAGAGAGAAAGCAATCAATAGAAACTGACACCAAGGGCTCAAAGACTTCAAAGCAGTGACTACAGTTATCTTAAAGGATTTAAAGAAAATGATACTTATGAGGGAACAGACAGGAAATCAACAGAAAACTGGACATTCAAAAAAAAAATTTTGAAAAGGAACCAAATAGAAATTCCAGAACTGAAATTTCAATAAATGAAATGAAAGATTCACTGGTTGGCCTTAAGAGTAGATTGGAAAAGGAAAAAGAAAGAGCCAATAAACCTAAAGGAAGAGTGATAGAAATCTAAATGGAAGAACACAGAGAAAAAATTTTTTTAAGTAAACAGAACCCCAGCGATCTGTGGGACAATATCAAAAGAGCCAGTATGTGTGTAAGTAGAGTCACAAAAAATACGGGGGATGGAACAGACAAATACGCAGAGAAATAATGGTCAACAATTTTCCAAATTTGGTGAAAACCAGTAATTTACAGATTTAGAAGTTCAGCAAAGCCCAATCAGGATAAACACACACACACAAACACACCCTTAAGCACATCATAATAAAACTGTTGAAAACCAAAAATGAGTGGAAAATCTTGAAGACCAGGAAAAAAGGTACATTACACACAGAGAGCAGTACTATGAATTATTGATGATTTCTCATCAGAAACAAGAGGACAGAAGAGAATGGAAGACTGTACTTAAAAGTGGTAAAAAAAACAAAAAAACCCTTTCAACCCAGAATTCTGTATCCAGCAAAAAAATTCTTCAAAAATAAAGATGAAAAAAAAATATTTTCCAATAAACAAAAACTGAGAGAATCTTTTACTGACAGACCTGCATCACAAGACAAACTGAAGTTCTTTAGGGTGAAGGGAAATGACACAGATGGAAACTCAAACCTGAAAGAAGGGATGACGAGCACCAAGAAAGTAAAACATAAGATGCTACCTACACTGTCTCATTTTCATTTCTCTAAAAGGCAATTGGCTGCTTAAAGCAAAAAATTGTATCACTCTCATCTGTACTGTGGGATTTATAATGGATGTAGATGTAAAAATATGAGAAACATAACATGAAGGATGAAAGGGGAAAATGACATATACTCTTGCAAGGAGCTCACATTCTACATAAAATGATACAGTATTAACTGTAAGTAGACTAAGATAGGTTAATAATGCCTAGTATAATGCCTGAAACAACCAGAAGAAATTAAAATAAAATATAGAAACTATTTCCAGCCTTGTTAATTATTACACTAAGTGAAAGTGAACTTAGCACTCAAATTATAAAGGCAGAGATTGTCAGATTAGATTAAAAAATCAAAATCCAACTGTATGTGCTCTACAAGGGACTCACTTTAAACATATTTATAGTCTGAAAGTAAAAGATGTTATAAACACTAAGCATAAGAAAGCTGGTATGGCCTGTATTGGTAATGAAGCAAACCTCAAGACAAGAAGTATAATCAGAGATAAAAAGGGCCATTTCATAATGATGAAAAAGTTAATTCCTCAGGAAACCGTAACCAGCATAAATGCACCTAATACCAGAACTTGACTATATATGAAGCAAAAAACCCTGAAAGAACCATAAGACAGAAACAGAAAACTACATAACCACAACTGAAGCTTCTATTAGACAAAAATTAAGAAAGAATACAAAAATATCAAAAAATTTCAAAAGATGAAAGTGTCATAGTGTGTATCTTTGGATCACAGTGGTAGTAAATTAAAAATCAATAATAATAAAAAAATTAAGAAAGTACCAAATACTTGGAAATTGAAAAGCACACTATAAATAATCCATGAACAAAGAAAAAAATCACGAGGAAATTAAGAAATACTTTGAACGGACTGAAAATGAAGACAGAACTTATCAAAATTTGCAGGATGCAGCTAAAGCAGGGGGAAATTTGTAGTTTTAAGTGGTGATCATAAAACATCAGAAAGGTTTTAAACCAACAATATGAATTTCCACTTTAAGAAGCTAAAATTAAAAAAAGAAAAAGAAAAAGAAAACCAGGGTAAATCCAAAGTAAATAGACAAAAGGAAACAAAAATAGAAATCAATGAGGAAAAAACACAAAAAACAGAGGCATCAACAAATCCAAAAGTTGGTCCTTTGGAAAGATTTATTAAAATGGATAATCCTCTAGGTAGGTTTGCTCAAGAGAAAAAGAAACCTCCCTACATATTAGCATTACTAGAGATTCTACAGACACTGGAAAGATAATAAGGTAAATGTATGGGAGGTGCTTGAAGCCACTGCAGCGAGGATGCTTCTGAACATTCTGCTCGCTGGTATGCCAGGGCTGGCGCTCACTGGTCCCCCACGCTAGGTGAAACACATTAATTGGGTGACTTGGCTCAAGGAGTGTGATCATCAGGCATCAGGGAGTCTGGCCAGATGGCTTCTTCCAAGAGCACGCCAAAACATGCACCGGTGATGGCACAGATCCTGCAGGATATGGGGATCACAGAATATGAGCCAAAAGTTATAAATCAGATGTTGGAATCTGCTTTCTGATATACGTGAACACAATTTTTTAAAATTTAAAAACATTTTATTCTTTTTTGTAGGAAGGTAATTAGGTTTATTATTTTTAATGAAGATACTGGGAATTGAACTCAGGACCTCATGCATGCTAAGCAGGCACTCTACCACTGAGCTATATATCTTCCCCACTTGAACACAATTCTTGATGATGCAAAAATTTCTTTAAGACATGCTAAGAAAGCTACTGTTCATGCAGATGATATGTAGTTGGTAATCCAGTGTATGCCAACCACTTTTTCTTATAAAAACTTTACTGTTTCACCTTTCACATTCAGATACACAGTCCTTCTGAAATGGAATTTTGTGTATAGTCAATATTATTTTTATAATGAATAGCCAAATTACCTAGTACCACTTACTGAAAATCCTTCCCCCCATCATTTTCTCTACTGTGCTATAATCTCTGTCATGAATCAGGTGACTGTTCACCTGTTCACCTTTTCCTGTATTCTGTATTTTGTTCCACTGATTTGACTACATTTGCACTAAAACCACACTGTCTAATTAGAATTGCTTCACAGTAGATACTGATCTCTGCTAGCGTAAATCCTCCAGCTTTGTTCAGCTTTAAGAATTGCCTTGGATATTCTTTGCTCTTTGCATTTCTGTATTAATTTTAACACTGGTTTGTCAATTTTTACATGCACACAAAAAAGTTCCTGCATTTTGATTGGGATCACTCTGAATATGGAGAGAAGAAGCATCTTGTCAACACCGAATCTCCTAATTCACCAGTGTGGTATATTCCTGTTACACTAGGTCTCCTTCACTTCTCTTGATAATGCTTTGCAATTTCCAGCAATTTTCTCAAATCTTTTGTGAGATTTATTCCTAGGTATCTGATATGGTTTAATGATACTCTAAATGGTAATGTGTGTAATGTGTAATGCATAAAGTATGATTAATTCTGGTATTTGACCTTGTATCAGTCTTGTTAAACTAAACCAACACTGAAATTTTAACAGTTTGTCTATAACGTCTTTTATGATGATGCGTTTCTTATGTCATTTGTGTCCTGTTCTCACGTTTTTACAGAGCAGTACTCCCAGTACAGTGTGGAGGAAAGCGGCTAGAGTGGACGTGTGTGTCTAATTCTCAGTCTCAAGGGAAAAGATTTTCACGTATAAACATTAAGCATGATAAATGTTATAGGTTTTTAATATGTGTTTAAAAGTCAGAGTAAAGAAGTTCCTCTAAATTCTCTAATTTGCTAAGATAAAAAAATAGGTACTGAAAAGTTTACAGGGTTTTTATCTGCTGTGAATACTATATCATTTGCTCCTGCTTTCAGTTAGTGTGGTCAAGAACACTGACTGATTTTTGAATAAAGAACTATTCTTGCATTCCTGAAATACACTCCAGATGGTCACGGTGTATTATTCTTTTTATTCGTTGTTGGACCTGATTTGCTACTATTTTGTTAAAATTTTCTTCATCTTTTCATGGTATGTATTTTCCCTTTTTTTTTTTTAGCCTTCCTCAATCTTAAAGAGACAAGTTTCAGGATACAAAACTGTTTCTATATACTAACAATGAATTATCTGAAAAATAAATAAAATAATCCCAGTTACAAGAGCATCAAAATCAATAAAACACTTAGGAATAAATTTAACCAAGGAGATAAAAGATCTCTACACTGCCTATAAGACATTGATATAATAAATTGAAGAAGACACAAATAAACAGAAAGATATCTTGTGTTCATGAATTAGATGAATTAATACTGTTAAAATGTTCACACTACTCAAAGCCATCTATAGAGTCAATGCAACCCTTATCAAGAAATCTCTGTACCCCCATGCTCACAGAGGCATTATTCACAGTAGCCAAGACACAGAAACAACCTAAGTGTTTATTAACAGATGAATGCATAAACAAGATGTGGTATACATACTCAATGGAATATTACTCAGCCACAAAAAGAAGGAAATCCTCCCATTTGTGACAACATGGACGAACCTTTAGGGCATTATACTAAGTGAAATAAGTCAGACAGAGAAAGACAAATATGGTCTCACTTATTGTAGAATCTTAAAAAAAGCCCGAATTCATGGAAACAGAGAGCAGACCGGTGGCCATCTGAGGTGGGGAGTAAGGGTAGGGGAGAGGGGTGAAGTTGGTCAAAGGGTACAAACTGTCAGTCTCAAGGTAAGTTCTGGGAGGGGGAAGGTAAGCATGGTAACTGTAACTGACCACACTTGACTCCCGTCTCCCGGGACACTGCCGTAGGTTTTCCCTCCACGTGTTGTAAATCCCACGGACTTTTCTCTCGTTGATATCAACACTCCCTGATTCCTATTTCCCACATGCTTACCTTTCTGGTGCTCTTTGTCGTTCTCTGAAGGTCAGTTCTTCGATCCGGGTTATTTTCCTGCAGCCTGAAGAACATCCTTTAGTATTTCTTATGAAATTCTAATGTAACAGAATTGAAATGTAATGAAAGTGAAATTCTACTGTAGCAAGTTCTCTCAACTTCCATTTATCTGAACAGACATTTGTTTCACCTTCACTTAGGAGGCTTTTTTGATGGGCACTGAATTCCAGGTGGGCAGTTTTTTCAAGCACTTGAAGATGTCATTCCACTGTTTTCTGGATTTTAGATTCTGTTGAAAATTCTGCTGTCTCCGTGTTGCTCTTTTGAAGGAAATGTGGTTATTTCCCTCTGGCTGCTGTAAAGGTCTGCTTGATCTTCAGTCCTCAGTAGTATTGCTACCATGAGGTCTGGGCATGCTCACCTTTGTGTTTTTCCTGTCTCCCATTTGTGGGATTTCTTCATCTCTGGATAATTGTCCAGATAACAATTCTAGGCCATTTTCTTTGCAGAATCGCTTCTCCAATTACACGTGCATAGTTCCAATGTTCCAGTCACACGTGTGTTATTCTTCTGTGTCTGTGTCCCTTCTTCCCTGTGTGCTTCAGTTTGCATGTTGTTGATGGATCTATTTCCAAGCCACTATGTCTTCTGTGACAGCCAATTACTTGTTGTTAACCCATCCACTGAGTTTTCAACTTCAGATATTTATTTTCCAATTCCAGAAAAACCTTCTCATTTCTATAAATTCTAATTCTCTGGAGAAATTCCCAATTCTTTTCATCTACTTTATACACCTTCCCCTCAGCTTTCTTGTTCATATTAATCATGGTTATTTCAAAGTCCTTGTCTGCTGACCTCACCTGTGGGTCTACTTCTCCATATATGACGTATTTTACTTTATATATATATTAGTATAAATACAGTGGTAAGGGGGACATTCTTGCTTTGTTCCTTCCTAGTTCCATTAGGCGTGATCTTGGATTCTCAGGTGATAAGGATATGTTTTATCATGTTGAAAAGTACCTATTTTACCAAATACCTTTTCATCATCTGGATATATTTGATGTTTCTCTTCTAATCTATTAACATGGTGAATTAATTAGTACATTTCCTAATACTGAACCATCCTTGTATTTCCAGACAACAATCACAGTTCGTAATGAGATGACATTCTTTTAACATCCTTTTAGTATATTGTTGGATATGTGTCTAATATTTTATTTACAATTTTTGCATTGGTATTTTAAAGTGAGATTAGTCTTCGGTTTTAATCTTTTTTTGCGCTGTATTTGTTAGGTTTTGGCATCAATATCTTGAACTTTATAAAATGAATTTAAGTCTTCCTTTTCCCCCTATGTTCTATCACACTTTAAATAAAACTAGTATCTGTTTCTTAAAGTTCCTGAGAAAAGTGTTTTTTAAACAATGGAATGCTAACAAAATGTACCAGGAAACTTCATTGCAGGGGTTAGGCAGGTGAAACAGACTGCACCATGCACCCTGCTAAGGGATGAAGGAAACATTTTAGGCATGACACAGGCCACATTCAAAGTGTGTGGGCCAGAAGTGATCCATGGGCAGCCAGCGTGAAACCCTACGGAATGATGGCGGCCCACGTTGACACGTTCCTATCCCTGCCCTGTGCCTAGCACATGCGGCCTCCTGGTTAAAGATGGGGCCCTGATATGGATGTGTTCTGCTTACCATGTGATCTCAGACAGACCAAGTCCCTTCTCTGAGCCACTTCCCCTCATTTGCACAGAGAGAGTAAAGAATAAAACTTACCTTTAAGAGCTGTCAAGAGGACTGAATGAGGTAGTGAGACAATGTATATAAACTTCCTCACAAAGACTGGTTTGGGGGGCACATTAATACACTATGCCCATTTCTATCATTGTGAGTATTCATTTTTCCCAAATGGAAACAATGTTCTTTGTGATTATAAAAGCAATATATCTTCACTGCAAAACTGCAACAGACAAAAAGAAACCACCACCATGCTGTACACAGACAGGGTAACTCTGTATGCAGCATCAGTGCCTCAGTTTTCTGCATAACGACACACTGTGGGCATCTTTCACTGACAGCAGTAACTCATGCAATTAGAGGCATCCTTCACCTTCCTGTTATCATGAGCTCCTTTTCAGTGGCTGTCGGCCGCATCTGGGTATAGATGTCCATTGTGAACACGGCGCTGGCACCGCTGAAAACAGACGTCAGGGAGGACATGAGAGAGGCCCATAGAGCAGACACCATCAAGCCTTGAACACCTGGAAAAGAAGGACCCTTTCTGGGCCTCCAGCTTGCCGGCCACGCCAGGAGGTACCTGAGGCCTGAGGGACTTTCCCACATGCTGACTTTGTTGGAATGGAGGCCTCTCTGAGACAGATCAGTGCATCACACCTGTCCTCGCTTGGTGATGTGCCTACTGTGTCTTTATATAATGGAAAGGAGCAGTTACTTGGGCCAAAAATCTCTTCAGGCATTCACCTGATGGCCCCCTGCAGCCTGGCAAATGGACACACTGCTGCCCCTTTCACAGAGGAGGAGCCCAAGGCTCGAAAGGATCCAGACCACAGCAAGTGACGCGGCTCCTTGTGTCTCAGTGTCCCCATCCGTGAAGTAGGTATGAAAGTGCCTACCACACAGGGCTGCTGTTAAGACTAAGATACAGTGAGAACATGGGTTAACACAGCGCCCAGCACAGAGCAAGCGCTCAGCAAGCATTAGCTACAAACATGATAATCCAGGGCTTTTACCTGAAACGCCACTAAGTGGCAGGGACCTTGCCCTGTCGAGGGATTTCCGTGTGTGGTTGGAACAGCCTGAGGCTCACTGGGCTGCACTGGAGGCTGCTGCAGCAAGGCCCCACTGCACTTGGGGGCTACTCGGGCCAGGCCTTGCTTCAGTGCCCCATGGCCCTGGGCCACAGCCTGGGGCGCCTGAAGACAGGCCCAGCTGGTGAAACTGGACAGCCTCCTTCCTGACTGTGGGATGTCAGGGTTTCCCTCCCTTGCAGTCCATCCACATCGTATTTTATGGAACTGTCTCAACACTGCTCGCCTGATTCACACAGCTAACGTGGAATTTGTAAAAAGAACTGTACTATTCATTTGGCCATTTCTGTGGGGTGTGGGGAAGCAGGTGAGATGAAAGCTGTCTCCCTGCCTGTCCCACTGGATGGAGCCTCACCTCCACACGTCCACAGGCCAGAACAACACCGAGCACCCACCCACGGAACCAGGGAGCCAGGGTGGGGCTGAGTGAGGAGGGATCAGTGCAGAGGCTGTGTCCGGGAGACGGAGGAGGATGGATGCAGAGGAGGCCAGCAAGGCTCCCTGGACACCCCGAGGGCCCTCCCTCCTGAGCCTACGCTTCCGCCGGCACACAGGTGCCCTTACTCCTGACTCAGCTCACAGCCCTCTACAGCTGGCCCACGCCTCACCTTTGGGCAGCAGCTCCGCCACCAGCATGGGGTAGGCCATGGGGCTGCAGCCGGTGCTGAAACCACAGTACTCTTCACACTCTGAGGGCACCACACAGGCCACTTTATCTGCAGAGAGAGACAACGGTCACCCCTGTACACTGGCTGTTGAGCTCTGACATCTGAGATTGGAGAACAGGGAAGCAAATCGTGTGTGGATGTCAGATTTGTGGTCTCCAATTCAGGAGTGTGGGGTGGAGGTCAGGGCTGAGAGTCAGGCCAGGGGAGTCTGGTGGCCGGTGCTTCGGCCAGTTCACCGCCTGACCCCACAGCAAGTCCCGTGACTTCAACAAGACTTTCAGTGATCCCAGCTGGTGTCAGGGAGGCAAATGGTTATTTATTCACATAGTGGCATGTGATCTTACTGGGGTGTTATTTCAGAGTATTTGGGAAGAAATTTTGGACAAAGGAAAGTAAAGGAAGTGAATGTGGTATGTCCTTGAAGAGTGTAAATAGGGGATATAAAGTTATGGCCTGAGAAAGAAACAGAAGCAACGAGCCAGCGTGGACTAGAAGGTGGCGGGACTCCGCCCGGGTTCACGTGGAGGGCCAATGGTGCCACCGGGGGCGTCAGGAAAGGGTGTGAAAACTCCCTCCCTGCGAGCAGGATCACAGTCTCCCTTGGCACCAGCCCGGCCATTCTGGAAACTCCTTCCCCTTGACCACAATGACTGGTCCCTGTCACTCCAGTGAACGCACCAAGGCTTTCCTGGGACTTTTGCTGGAACTGTGGGGAAGGGAACACCCCTCCTGGGGATTGCTGGGCTGGCGGTGGGGAAGCCTGGTGCTGCTGGCAGTCATCTCACCCCCAGACGGACTGTGGAGGACACCAGCTTGGAAGAAAGAGGAGCTAAAAGTGCACGTCACATTCAGTCAAGAGCCTCAACTAATATAGCGGCCCACACAGAAAGCCAGACTGACGGAATCATACCTTGGTGACATCTGGCCTCCCTCTGGTGGGGGAAAGACCCCGAAGCTAGGGCCAGAAGCATTCACGTTACTGGAAAGGCATATTCTTTCAGGAGTGGGGGCAGCTGTCCAGCTTCTGTGACAAATGGCTCTCTGGCTTCATACAGCCGGCCTGTGTAAACAGTCTGCGAGTCTGGACATTTCTCAGGCTCGGGACACGTGGTTCTGGGCCCCTCCCCACCCCGCGGCCACCCCAGGTCAGCTCCACCAGCTCTACCCACGGTGGGCAGAGGTTCGGGGAGTGTGGGTTCCTGTGCCCTCTCTCCTCCCCACCGCCGCCACCACTTCCAGAGTCCAAGAGACATTGATTTTGTCCATCTTCTTCCTCGGTGGGCTGAGTGGTCTGCACTATGAAGTGCAGGTAGGGAGGTGGGGTCACCAAGCCCAAGGGACTCTGGGGTCCTAGGGAGCACAGGGGCCTATTTTCCAACCTATGAGGAGGCACCACCTACGAGAACCCAAAACATGCTGCCTGACAGCTGAAGGCCAAATCTGGGATGTTGAAACTGGAAAGGAATTAGGATTTTAAAAAGAGGCATGTCTCCAGGGCAGACTGGAGGACCGTCAGGGCTGGAGACATCTAGTGCACGTGGAGCTTCGCAATCAGAAGGCCTACCCTCCGCTGGTCTTCGTCAAGCACTGCAGCAGAGGATTCTTGGAAGCCCCCTGCTCCGCCCCGGGGCTGTGCCATCAGAGCACAGGCTCCATAAACGGTTAATGAATGAACAGACCAGGTGCCGGAGGCAGCACAGCCAGTGAAACGAGGCTGGAACGGGGACTAGGGACACGCACGAAGTTACAAGAGCTCGTGAAGGGAGCAGGGACGTCCTGGTAGCACTTACTGGAGAGAATGTGGGCCTGCGCGTCAGACCCACTGTAGGGGTCCGTCTGTGGCTGGAGAGCAGCCAAGAGCATCAGCCGTGGCCTGGCCGGGCAGCTGGGGTGCCCACAGGACGGCTTGCAGGGCGAGGGGAGCAGCTGGCCTCCCAGGGACTGGGCCTCATGGTGCACAGAGGCGGCAGGGAGGCCCGACTGGCCCTTCCCTGCCTGAACTCGTCTCTGAAGTTTCTCTCTCGCCACCTCCACCCCCTACCCCCGCCAGACTTCTGTGGGGCTACATCCCTACCCTGAATCCACTGGCTCTCAGGAAAGCACTCTGGGTACCTCAAGCCCAGCCCGCTGCGGGAGACCATGCAAGCCCACGCCCTCCAGATGCCCTGGAGAGATGTGGTCAGCGTGGACGTGTCAGCGCGAGAATCACCTGAGTACAGGACGCGGCTGATCATCCCTGGCATCACCATGCTGAACATGGGCAGCAGCTTCAGGTACCCACACATGACGCAGCCGGCCTTCACGTGACACACGTTCTTCCCCGCCAGGCAGCCCTGGATGAAAATCTGCCAAGGAAACATGGGGGGGGGTGGCTTTCTCAGGTTGTATCAAGCCCGGGCTGCCTAGGCTCCGACAGGACAACCGTGACCTGTAGTGGCAGCAGGGTGTGCCCTTGGGGGTTGCCAGTTGCTCACCCCAACCAACCCGGCGTCTCGGGACATCCAGGGCCAGAGGAGGCGCGTGTGGCCGCCACGCATGTTGTGCTCAGTGCACAGCTGCCAGGGGGGACGCATGTGGCATGCACGACCTTGGCCTCACTGCTTGCATGGCACACCAACCACAGCAGTGCAGGGCTTACACGCTGTCCCCCAGCAAGGACGAGACCCCCTCCTGGAGGCCCAGTCTCTGTGCCTGAGACATCAGTCTAAGCACACACAGGTCCCTGGCAACAAATGAGTGTTTAGAACTGGGGCCGACTTCACTCATCTAAGTGGAAATGAACGAATGTAGCCCTTGACGCGCAGAGTCTCCCGGGAGGAGCTCCACCACCGTTTCGTGGAGGTGATGTGTGCTCAGCATAGTACAGCGGGCAGATGAGACGCACTAAGAACAGAAAGACCTGGTCCAGTGCCTCAAGACAACGCAGGATTATGTCTGCACTAAAATCACATTCTCAAAGCACATTTAAATAATGTGGAAAAATGCTCACAGTGTGACAGTAACTGAGAGGCAGGGGATACAACAATCGCACACACCCTGTGACACCTGGCAAAAGTCCACAGGAATAAACCAACTTGAGGGAATAGTGGTTAATCCTGGGGTGGTAGGATTGACAGGCAGAGTTTTCATGTTCTTCTTTATGCTTTCTCTAGCTCCCAGATGCATAATTTTAATAACAGGAGGGAGATCCCCAAAGTGGTTCTGCCTCACACAACAGGTGCTGCTTCTTAGGGGGCCCACGGGCATTCTGCTGTCCGCCTCTCAGCGCACAGGGCCTTGGCTGGGCGGGTGGGCAGCCGGGCTGCGCGTCCTGGTCTTTGCTTAGCCCCGTGCACAGAGGAGACAGTCGCTAAGGGAGGGGATGAAGGAGCAGGGCAAGGGCAGAAGCAGACTCTCACTCCCCAGACAGGACAGTCTCAGGGGCTGCAGAAAGTCCTGAACACCTTCGTGGGTTGTCCTACATCACAGAGTGTGGCAAGGGGCAGACTGTTTAAAAATGGTGGTGGCGGGCCAGAGGAAAACAACTTTCCTTCTGTCAGTTTGTTTACTTCTTTTTTCATTAAAATTTTTCTTAAATCATTTTCTTTAGTTAGGAAGTTATAGATTCTACTTCTATGCTTTTAATAATTACCCTTCAAATTTTAACATGAATGCAACTTCCAGCCTAAAGTAAATCAGTCTCCCCACCCCACTGAGCAATTCAAGGTCCACAGGCAGAGTGAGCTCCCACCGTGTCTGGTCTTTCAGTTCTGTCCTGCGTGTAAATTTACTTTCCATATTTAGGATTACAGTGACTTTCCAGCCAGTGTGTGAGGTCTGCACCTGGGCCGGTCAGCATCTCTAACTGTCACTCTTGCTCTGCAGAACCTCCTTTCCCTTCATGCACAACCTTCAGTCTCTAGGGAAGGTTATGCCTTTATTTCGCCCTTGCTTCTGAAAAACACTTAGCTGGGTGTATAACTGACAGCTGACATTTTCCTCAGGACTGTGAAAATTTTACTTATTTATTCTCCCTGTGGGTTGCACTGTTGCTGCTAAGTCTGTAGGGCTGTGTCTCTTCTTACAAGTGATCTTTCCTCTCCGGTGGCTTTTAGGGTCTTCTCCTTGTCTTTCGTGTTCTGCAACTTCATGAGGTTGTGACTTTGTGTCTACCTGCTTGGGATTCGCGGTGATCCCTGAATCTGATTAGCCCCTTTCTCCTCAAACACCACTTACCCTCCTCCTCCTGGAACTCTAACAGGTGTGTTGTAATCCTCACTCCGTCTTCCACGTCACTTTCTCTTTCACACTTTCCACTTTTGTGCTTTTTGAGCAATTTCTTCAGTTCTCCCTTCTGGGTTACTAATTTTTTCTTTCCACTATGTTTAACCTGCTATTTTAAGTTACTGAGCTTTACATTTCAACAAGGATATTTTTCATTTCCAGAAGTTCGAGCTTTAAATCTAACCGCTCATTTTTGATGGAATTGTGTTAATGTTTTCAGTTCCACTTTTATCTCCCTGAACGCGTATTTTGTGTCTGGTATCTGGCACTTCCGTTTCTGAAGTGTGGGGGCGCCAGTTTTGCTGTTTCTTGCTTGCGCTGGTTCGAGTCCTCCGTGTTTCCTAACCATGGTGGGGCTCACGCTGAGCGGGCCCTTGTTGGTGAGTCTCTGGCGAAGCCTTGGGCGAGGGTGCACCTGTCACAGGTCCTGCTGGCTCAGCCGGTAACAAGTCTTGGAAGAGTTTAAGTTCACTTCTTCCTCTGGGGTTTCCCTGACCATGCAGGTCAGTTAAACCCCATAAACCATACAGGAAGACAGGCCTGTCACGAACTCTCAGAGGGGACTCCTGCCTTCCTCCTGGAACCCCAGCTGAGGCTCTTTCCCGTTGTTTCTCCCTGCTGCTGGGCAGATTTCCCCTAGTCTACCTCCCACTGAGGCTCCAGCCTTGCAGGAACCCAAGTTCTACACGGAGGGGTCCCTCTTCACCGCACACGAACTTGAGGACTTTCTCCCATTCTCATCTGGCCGTAAAAGCCCAAGCCACTGAAAGACATGCTTGGTAAACACTGCCTGTGCACTGTCCCTGTCAGGTCAGCCTGGCTCTCCTGACTACAATCTGCGCTTTGTCTTCATCCTCTGGAGACTTTTACCCTTCCTTACGAGCTTCTCAGTGACTACAATGGGTGTTAGTTATATTTCACCCAGCATTCCTTGGAGCTCTGTGCTGGGAGGCAGCTCAGGAATCCAGTTTACCCACTGTCACAAGTGGAAGTCCGAGGGCAAGTTTTAAAGCTATGGTTATAGAAGACACTGAAATACATAGGACTTCTCCTGTCTTCGAGGTGAAGTAGCAGAATCACACACGTAACTAGCAGAAAGGAAAGACTACAGATGGGAACACTGGCTGCATCGCAGAGGACCCCACCTGCTCTCCTGCTCCTCCGCACAGTGAGCTCCAGGGCCCTGCTGTGTGCACGCCCGGCCCACGCTCCTCCCGGCTGCACAGTGGCCCTCAGGGCGGCCCCCCTCAGCTGCCCACCGCAGAGTAACCCCCGCAACCAACGCTGCGATCCAGGTCCCTTGTGAGCCTCAATGAGGATTTTCTGGCCATAGAGTCAACATACTTGCCAGGTCACCCTCTAGAACAGGCCGTAACCAGGCCACATGCTGACCAGAAGCGCACGAGGGCGCCGAAACACACACGTCCTTCCCGACACTTGGCATGTCAAGCTGTCTCGTGTTTGCCAGTCTCATTGTGGTTTTAAACTGCACTTCCCTGATAACTCTGGGTGATAGGCTCGTTAGCATTTATGTTTGTTTGAACTTCCTTTCCTGTAAGTTGCCTGTCCCAAGATCTTTTGCCTGTATTTCTATCACAGTTCCTTTTTCTTATGGGTTTGCTATTAGTCTCCTGCTCATTATACACACTCGTAACAGTTTTCTCTAGTCTTGTCGTCCATCAACTTTGTCCACAGTGTTCTTGGTTAAAAAAGCCTTATGTATATGTAATGGGATCAACTAGACATGATTTACTGTACGACCCCTCATCTCAAAAGCATTCCCCAGCGTTACGTTCCCTTCATCGCACAGTTTTACTTTTCACATTTAAGTCTTTAATTCATCTGAAGTCCACCTTTGTGTAAGTGTTAGGTAGGGAGGAAATTCTACTACTCTGAATAGTGAGCTGGGTTTTCTAACATCATGAAAGAGTAAGTATCTCCCCCGTGGTTTGTGGAGCCTCCTGAACATATATTAACCTCCTACAAGTACATGAGTCTGTCTCTGAGCTCCTTATTATGTTCCATTAGTCTATATGTCCATTCTTGAAAATTTCAAACTGTTTGTATTTTTGTCAATGTTTAAATATCTGGTCGGGCAAGTTCTCCCCCTTTGTTCTTCATTTTCAGACTTGGGTTAGCTATTTGTTGTGGCACTTTCTCCTCCCTCAAGATGCTGAAAATCCCGTTCCTTGTAACATAACCCAGGAGAGCACACTGTAGCACCTTATGGAGGCATGTGCCATGTAACCACCATCCAAACCAAGAGATGCAACGGCACCCAGAAGCCTCTCTCCCTCTTTTTAAAACTGAGGTGGAGTTCACGTAACATATAATTAACCATTTTAAAGTGAACAATTCGGCAGCATTTAGCGCATTCCCAAGGTTGTACAGCCTCCTGTCTTTGGTGCCAGAACTCCTCCATCACCCCAGAAGAGCACCCAGACCCAGGAAGCAGGCACTCTCCTCTGCCCTCTCCCCCGAGGGGGTGGGGGGAGGAGCACTGATCAGACCTCCGTCTCCATGGATTTGCCTGTTCTGCGTATTTCACATCAAAGGAATCACACGATAGGTGACCTCTCGTGCCTGGCTTCTCTTCACTTGGTATAATGTTTTCAAGATTCACCCAAGCTGTAGCACATATAGGTACTTCATTCCTGTTTATGACTGAATAATAGTCCAACCCATGGATACACATTTTGTTTATTTATTCATTCGTGGGTCGGTTCCACTTTTTGGTGATTGTGACTAATGCTGTTACCTGTGCCCCTTGTTAACCTCAACCTTTTCCCTTGCTTCAGAAACGACTGCTTTAATGACTGTTTTATTTCTTCCTTGCTTTTCTTTATAATTTTTGCTACTTAATTGTGTGTACCTAAGCACCACAACCGAGCCCTGCCTGTGTTACACCTTCTTGGAACGTGACTGTGCCGCACTGAGCGTTGTGTTCAGCTGCCTCCGTCTTGGCTTCCTGCTTTGAAGACCCGTCCACACCATGGTGCGCAGCTGCACTTCCTTTTTATTTCTACTCTGCCTTTCCACTGCATGAGTATCTCACAATTTAATGATCTATCGTTGATAGAAAGCCACATAATTTTTGGAATAAGCTTGAGTCCTTAAAAAAAAACTAACTGAAATACTGACAACGACATTTAATTTCTAGACTAAATTTGAGAGAACTGACATATTTTTCATGTGCAAAAAACTGTGCTTTTTAGACAGTGAGAGGGAAGAAGAATGCAAATAGCTGTGTTGTTACAGATGGGACTGTGGGACAGAGCTCGGTCTAGCGTCACTCAGGCACCAGGCGGACAGGAAGGTAAACCTGCCCGGCTTCAGAGACCATGGTGGACCCCCACCCCAGCGCAGGCACGTCAGTGCAGGGGGTCTGGTTAGTTACCTGATTGGCGCACCAGTAGTACAAGGAGAGGGTGGAGGCACCAAAGACGATCCCAGGCCAGGGGAAGTCTCCAGTGATGGGATCTCGGAATATATGGAAAGAATCCTGGCGAGGGGTCAAGCATTCCAGCTGGACAGTCCAGTTTCCTTCATGGGTCAGGTTTGGCTTAGCATCCATGTACTTACGCTGTAGCTCCTGGTATCCTCCTACCTCCTGAAAGGCTTAAGAACACCACACAGTTTACCAGTCAGTACCTTAAATTGTACAGCAACACTTGTCAGAAGAACCAAGGTTGCAAAGTAAGATGAGTCTGCCTGGTGGGGTCTAACACAATGGCTGACAAAGAGCCAGACTGTACACCATCCCCTAAGACACCATCCCCTCCAAAGAAATGGAAGAGGACAGTGGACACTGGTGGTCCTGTGCCCTCACCCCCTCCTGCTTCTGGCAGCAGAACCCCTCTTTCTGGCTGCACTCCATCCTACGTGCTTAGGGGGGCCTCATCAAACTGCCTACCATTCACCCTGGTACGTGACCCAGGCCTGGTCAATGTTCCCTGTCCCCTGGGTAACAAGGATGTCACAGGAATGGACTGGAGACCCAAGCTCGGCTAATCAGAACTTATCCCAGGATTCTTCTGCTTAAGGCACCAAAAAAGCCTGCTTCCTTGCTGTGGGTTCTCAGCCAGCATGGCAGTTTGAAGCTCTTTTGCTGACCTAGTTCCTGCAGAAGCCTGGATCGATATATGCCCGAAAGTGAGATGCCCCTGGTAGAATTTTCAGTTATGAGTACCACGGAAGTACTTATTTGCTTATACTAGTTTTGAACTAAAGACCCATCACAAGTTATTCAAAGAATCACAAGTAAATCAGAAATTAATATTCATTTTCCTGCAATGTCAGCAAAACACTTATGAAACTTCATATTTGGAATTTCCTTCAGAGCCTATTAATTTCTCCCTCAATATCCTAAGTGGTATAAAGTCTTAATATTAAAGAAAAATATTTTTTAAAGGCACTAAGACACTCATAATTTCACCTACTTAACTGAAAAAAACCCTTTTATTTTGGCGTATTAAACCACATTCTTTTGACACAGACTCAATTTTGAAAAGGGGTCAGAATCACTTGGAGTCAAGACTAGTCAATGAAAAGACACTGAGTGACTATAAAATGAATAAGACACCTCATGGCACTTCTAAAAATGAACTCCATGTGGGATTTGTTAAAGGTGAACTATAAAACCACAAAGTTACTAGAAGAAAACAGGAGAGCGTCTTTATGAACTTGGGTTAGGGAGTAGTACATTCTTAAACAAGATACAAAAAGGAAAAGGAAGGTTGATAAACTTGACCTCAAAAGTTTAAATTTGTATGACTGAAATCAACTTAAAATTTGTTAGACTGAAAGAGGAGATTTGCATCATGTACAAAGGACTCACACATCAAGAGCCAAGGGAAACTGCCAGAGGGAAATACGGCAGAGAATATGAACATGGAATTCACAAACAGGAGACACAAACGGCCACTAAGTGTATGAAAAGATGCTCAACCTCACTGGCACCTGGAAACTTCAAATTGAAACAAAAATGAGATACTTTTTTTCCCTTCACCTATTAGTCATATTTCTAAAAAGTCTTAAAACATCAAGCGTTGGCTGAGAGGTTAGAAAACACATTTTCTCATACATTTCTGATAAAATGAGTTAAAACAGCCACTTTGGAGAGGGATTTGACTATCTCTTGACAAATCCAGGAGTGCAACATTGAGTTAACATTCAAAACCAAGTCAATGTAATTTACTGTGTTAAAAAAAAAAACAAGAAAAACAATATATTCAGCTCAGTAGGTGTGGAAAAAACATTTGATACAATTCAAAACCTGCTCACGATAAACAATCTTAGCAAACTAGGAACAGATAGGAACTACGTTAGTATGACAGAAAGTACCTACAGGAAATATTTTATTTAATCAAATATTCTCCTTTAAATTGGGAATGAGACAAGGATGCCTGAGGCCCCTACTTCAACACTGTACTAGAGGTCCTGGCCAGTGTAACAAGGCAAGAAAAAGAAACAAAAGGCATAAAGTTTGGAAAGGAAGGCAACAAAGACAACTTCCTGACCTGGGTTCTGGCTGCCAGGGTGTATTCACTTTGTGGTACTTCATCCAGCTGCACTTTGACTTGTGTGTTCTTTAATAAAAAGTTTATTACAAATACAAAAACAGAGAAGATGCAATAGATCTCTATTTGCTGATATAGAAATTTGCCTAAGATAGAGTTTCAGTGGGAGAAAAACAGGCTGCAAAATGTTCTGATTCACAGATAAAATAAATTGCACATGCAAACCTCATTTTATTGTGTTTTGCTTTACTGCACCTTGCAGATACTGTGTTTCTGTTTTTGTTTTTGTTTTTACAAACTGAAGGTTTGTGGCAACCCTGCTTTGAGCAGGTCCATCGGTGCCATTTTCCCAACAGCATTATTTTTAAATCATGTACCTTGCTTTTGGACATAATGCTATTTATTGCACACTTAGCAGACTACAGCATAGTATAAACTCAACCTTTATGTGCACTGGGAAACCTAAGCATTCATGTGACTTACTCTGTTGTGACATTTGCTCCACTGCTGTGGTCTGGAACCAGACCCATAGCATCTCCAAGGTCGGCCAGTACGTATGAAGGGCATCTCTGGAAGGGTATGCGCAAAACCTATGATATTGAGTGTCTCTGGGGACTCGAACTGAGAAACTAAGGGTGATGAGTATTTCAATCTGCACCCTTTTTTGGGTTTACATTGTGTATGTATTACCTAAAAATTGTATATAAAAAAAATTGTATTTGCATGGGTTCCCACAATGACTAGTTTGAAGGCAACATTCATTTGAATGTATAAGTTTACATATATTTTTAAAAGAAAACGACCCCCTCCCAATACTTTACTTATCAAAAGAACTAGTGCAAATATCCTGATTTAAAAAAAACCCATTAAACTTCTCAGAAAATGTCTTAGTCTATGCAGGCTGTTCTAATGGAATGCCATGGGCTAGGTGGCTTATAAACTACAAATATTTACTTCCCAGTTCTGGAGGCTGGGAAGGCCAAGGCCACGGTGCGGGCTGACTGGCTGGTGGCCACGGTCTCACTGTGTCCTCACATGGTGGCAGGGCCAGGGAGCTCCTGGGGTCTCCTTTATAAGGCCACTAATGCCATTCATGAAGGTTCTTCCCTCATGACCTAATCACTTCCCAAAGGCCCCAGCTCCTAATACCGTCACACTGGGGGTTAGGATTTCAACTTATGAGTTTGGAGGGATACAAACATTCAGTCTGTAACAGTAAACAATATGTAATTATTTAAGATACTAATTGATAACATTAAATGGAATATTCCACCTGCTCCTAAAACTTAACTGGATGTCATTCTCAAGAATTGGGATGGTCTTGGCAGGTTTTAATAAAGTTGATAAACTTAACATGCAGCATGCACGTAAACACAATGGCTTAGCTTGCTTTGTAGTTTATACTTTTGTCACTCAGATTAGTCATTGCTTCCCAGCTCATTTAAAAATTCCTTGGCTTATGCCTGAGGTGTACAATGTGTCCCAGCAGCACAGCACGGAGTGCACTCCATGGAGCACTGGTGCCGACTGGATGGTGAGACCGGGGTATGTGGTTCTGTGCGCGTCTATCTGTCCTCACTCCATGGGCTCGGCAGTGTGCTCTATGGAATCATAATCCTTCCAACGCTGCAATAATTTTTCAGTACCTGAGCTAAGAGCTTTTCTTTCTAGATTATCTGCAAGACCAATCTCTGACCCGTGGAACAGTGGGTACTGCCAACCTCACTGAGTTACTCCCAGCTAGTGGAGGGAAACCTTCACCCTAGGGAGAGGGGACTTATCACTGCAGGGACGGTAACATGCAAGCCTGCACACTGGGGGCTTTGACGTTAGAGACCAGGCTCTGAGTCCTCTGCTTGGTGTGCTTCGTGAACAAGTTACTTAGCTGAGGAATTCAGCTTCCTTATCAGTAAAATAAGGATAATAAAAGTGGTTATGCCTTCTGGTGAGTGTGATGATTAAATAAGGCCATACAGATAAATGCCTAAGGGTACCTGATTCTCGTTACTACTCAGTACGCGCCTACCACTCGCATCACAAAGCACGTGTGTAAAGGATACAGCAGCTCTGGTTGGTAAGAAGTTTTGGACCTGGGGGCATGATTTATTTATGTGACACAACATACCATCAAGATATGTACCATCAAGAAAAGTGTCAAGGTGTGTGGCAGTGATTTACTTACCGTAGCCCATCAATAAGACTGAGCCCAGAACCACCACGCCAGTGTGTAGGACATCAGTATAGACCACGGCTGCAAAACCACCTGAATAGGCAAGAGAAAGAGGAAGGAGAACCAGGCCTGACCCCACGGAAAGTGACTTCTGCAGGCCTGCCCCACACACTCGTCTCCCCCGTCCGCACGTCCACACCTCCGCCCTTCAATTCACTGGGTCTTAAACTGCCGATGCTCAGTCCCAGCTCGGCCTGTTTTCTCTCTTTAACGTCCTTCATGATCTGCTGGTGGATTCTTACCCTGCCTGTCTAACTCCCTATTTATCTCCCATTGTTTGGATGAATGAAAATCTGGTAGTTTTCTAAGTGAAAAAAAGTGTACAAGTCTTCCTTGACTTATGATGGGGTTACGTCCTGGCAAACCCACCATAAACTTAAAATATCATTAAGTCAAAAATGCATTGACTACACCTCACCTATCCAGCATCATGGCTTAGCCAGGCCTGCCCTGAATGTGCTCAGAACACTCACATTAGCCTATGCTGGGCAAAGCCATCCCACACGGAGCCCGTCTTATAATAACATGTTGACCGTCTCATGTTATTTACTCAATCTCACACTGAAAACTGGATGGCTGTCTGGGTCCAGGGTGGCTGTCACCTTGCGATGGGCGGCGGAGGGGGGCTGCGGCTGCTGCCCCTGCCCAGGACTACCGCGGCGTCATGCCACGTATCGTTAGCCCAAGAGAGAACCAATTAAAAACCGGAAGCATGGTTTCTCCTGAATATCTGCGGCTTTTGCACCATCATAGAGTCAAAAATCCTAAGTTGTTCCCGTGTAAGTCGGGGGACGTACCTGTCTCTCATCATAAAATCTCGGCTTGGGAGCAACAGGGAGCAGCATCCCTGGCCTTGAACTGCTGGATGTCAGCAGCACCCTCCAGCTGTGACGACCAAAAATGTCTCCAGGTGATTCCAAATGTCCCCTGGGCAGAACGCCCCCCCACTCCCCTGCATAAAGATCCACTGACTGCATGCACCGCACTGTCTGCCCTGGTTCTCCTGCACCTGGAAGAACTGCCAGGGGCACCCACCAGCATCCAAGATGTGCAGTGGCTGGAACACACAAGGGACGAGGGCCCCACTCTCACAGCCTAGGCAGAGGCTCTCCAGGACAGAACTGTCTACGTAAAAGAGCCCCTCTGCTGGCCTGACCAGGTTACCAGGTAAGCAGGTAAGCAGGATGACCTGAAGTTGCCACCTCCCCTCATTCCCTCTCTGTGCTCCCGTTCCTTCACCGGCAGCCTGCAATGAAAGGCCTGCCCCGCCCTAAACACCATTACTGCCGGCCGGGCCAATCCCCTTGGAAAGCCCCGCAAGCCCGATACAATCTCCAGGGGTAGGACGCCACTCTGGCACCCCTGCCTTGATTATTTTCAAGGCCCTTTTGGGCCTCAGCAATGTGACTTACAGACTCAGGGGACATGTAAAAGCTGGAGACCTCTGCCTCAATGTCTTGCAGGACTCCGCTAAGAAGTAGAGCTGCAGTGTCAGTACAAACACCTGCGTGGCTGGAGTAACCTCACCTGTGACGGCATAAATGCCAGTAACCGTCAGCAAGACTACAGTGGCCAGGCACACATCCACGCCCAGCACCAGCCTCATGAACGTGGCGCCCATGCAGATCTCCACCTGGAAAGAGCACAGAGGCAGCTTGGCTGACAGTCATCCCATGGAAACACTGACCTCAGAGGCCATCTGCATGTCCACTCCATCCCTTGTGGACATGGGGTGAGGTCTACCCAGGTTCTTCTGGGTGGCAAGGCCGGGGCCCTGTCGAGTTCAGCGAAGTCAGCACCTTTAAGGCTTGAGTTAACCCGATTAATCCAGTTAATGCAACTTAGCTCCTCCTGTCTGGAGCCTCAGAGTGGGGAGTGTGCTCAGAGGGTGAGCTGTCCCTGCCGCTTGCCAGTGGGAAGAGCAGAGGCGACGGCTCATCAGGCGCTGGCAAGCCTTCCCTGTTAAGGGACAGACAGTAAACGCCATAGGCTTGGTGAGACACAGACCATTTCTGGTTTTTAAGACCCTTTAAAACTGTAAAAACCCTTCTTAGCTGAAGGACTGTACAAAGCAGACCACCAGGCCGCCTGGCCCGGGGGCTGGGTTTGTTTTGCAGGCTTGGCCGACAGTGATGCTGAAGCACCTGCATTTGCTACTCCGGAGCTCACAGCCAGGGGCTCAATGGGCAGAGACTCCCCCGACACACCCACTTATGCACCGAATGTTTTCTGAGCACCAGCCTTGCAGGTACTTGGCAGGGTTCAGAAGACACAGACTTCCCAAAACTCAGTCACCGTCTTCAAGCAGCTGACGTATAATGAAGGAGAAAGACCACCAAATGGGTAATTTCCAGGCAGTGTGACAGCGACACTCACTCAGTCACTCAGAATGACACTTCACAAATGCCTCCTGCTCCACATGTTCTCGGCACAGGGGGACTGTCGGCATGAGCCGGGCAAGGCCTCGGGCTCCAGCAGCTCGCACCGGAGTGGAGCAGACACTGACGGCAAGGGGATAGGTGACTTCTCTCATGTGGCGGCAAGTATTACACAGGAAGCAGAAACAGAGTAACAGAGCAGAGACTGACTGGGCACATCCATTGAGGTGACATCGGAAAAATCTGGGGGGAAGAACATTCCAGAGCACATATCAAGGGCTTCAAGTGGAACAGCTCACTGGAGTTGGGAAACAATCCTGTGAGTACAGGGGAGGTCACAGGGAGCCAAGGCTGGAGGCAGGGCCAGGACGGACAGTCTCACAGGTCGTAACAAGGGGCTCAGGTCTCTTGTAGGGGTGGTGGCAATGCCTGGACTGTTTTAAGCAGGGGAGTGACAACACCTAATGACATGACACGGGTAAGCCCAAGGTTCTCTGGGAATACAGAGGAGGGGCCTGTAACCAGGCTTGGGAAGCAAAGAAGATGCCTCTGCCTTTCATTCTATGTATTATTAAGCTATTTTCTCTCCACTTTAGCTTAGACCACAGAGGCCAGCAAGTAACTCATGGGGCCCTGGAATGAACTGCTGGGACAGATCTAGCTTAGCCCTGCCTACTGATTTGGTCTGCTGTTTGTTTTTCATCCTTGGGCTGGCGTTCACACAGCTCACCAAGATCTTACTGAAGATATAGATGATTAAGTACAGAACAGCGAGGAGCATCTGGATCCGGCAGCTACCAAACCTCTTCCTCAAGTATCTGGGCAACGTCACTACCTGTAGGAGCAACAAGAGAAGTCACCATCAGACAGAGTGCTCACAGGGACTGGTTGTCACAGAGACGCAGCCAATCAGGGCAGCGGCCCAGGTACAAGATGCAGAGTCACCTACTCCAGCTTTGCGTTACTTGGACACATGTTAAGACAGGAGAAATAAGAAAGGAGAGGCAACAGTGCCGTCTTCAAGAAGCTTGGAACCTAGCTTCCTATTCGATCTCTGGAAAGCAGAAGGAAATCCGGCTAAGTATGTCTAATGATGACAAATCACTTTCATAAAATAATTGTACAGCAAAATCAAATGCTTTACCACATATGACAAATATACCAAGGGCTCAAGGATGACAGGACTCCACAGCTCTGGGACCTGGTCCCCTGTGCCAACGTCGCCCGTGTGAGAGAGCTCCTGCCCCAAACAGCCCACTCAGGCAGTGCACCCGGCGGGGGGCAGGCCCTCCTTGCTCATAAGCTGCCTGGACCCGAGCACAGTGATGGGCTCACAGAGGTGGATAAATCATAGTGAATAGCCCACCACCCAACCCGTCCCCACATCCTCCTGCGCTCTTGCCCCCTTCCTCACACGTGCAAATTCCTCCTGCTGCACAGGGGCTGTGAGCCCTCTCCTAAACATCTACAGCTTTTATTCTTTTCAGCTCGTCTGGTTCTTAATCATATGCTGTGGTGACTTCCTCAGGCAGGCTCTGAATCATTTCACACTCACCACTGGCATCAGTTTGCTAGCACTGCCGTCACTGACAACGGCAGACTGACAGAGGCTCACACAACAGCTCCGGAGCCTGGAAGTTCAAGGTGTCTGCAGGGCTGGGTCCCTCCGGGCTGTAAGAGAAGGCTGTGTGCGAGGCCTCCCCGGCTTGCTGATGGCCGAGCCCTCTCTGTGCCCGCCTGTTGCCTTCCCTCTGTACGGGTCTGTGTCTGGCCTCCTCCTCTCCCATACTGCATTAGGACTATTCTAACAACTTCATTTTACCTTAATCCCTTCTTTAAAGACTTTATCTCAAAATACAGTCACAATCTGAGGCGTTTTTCCTGGGATCATGGCCTCACAATTGCAAGCATTAGATGGTTTGGCAAATAGGCCTTTCAGAATTCTAATGTCCTCTCCACAAATATTTTAAAATTTTAACAGTTTTATGAGGCATAGGTTACACACAGTAAAATTATCTCATTTTAAGTGTAAAGTCTGATAAGTTTGGGGAAATGTATACAGTTGTGTGACCACCACCACACTCAAGATATAAGGCATTTATTTCCCAGCCCCTCAGAATCCCCGAAGGCTTGTGGCCAAGACATTCACCGCCCTGGTCCTGGACACCAGCTGTCCCCAGACTTGCCTTTCCTGGAGCCGAAATCAACCCACCCCACGGAACGCTGGCCTAAGCCCTGCTTCCTTCTCCCCACACGGCCCCCGTGGTTCACCTGGAGCACCATGTGGCATGCTGTCTGCCACCCTCCTATCCTGTCCACACTGTTTCTGGGTGCACTGTTTTCAGCTGAAAGTGCTGTGAGCTTCGTGCACCAGTCTGTGTGAGGATGTGCGCTTCCACCTCCCACTTCTCTGGGGCGGGGTCAAGTGCCATAACCAGGAACTGAGTGGCTGGGACCTCAGGTGTAACTGGATGAGAAACAGTCAACCTGTTGTCCAATGTGGACAGGTACGCATCCCAGGTGCCCCCCGGCCTCGCCAGCTCTTGGCAGAGCCAGTCTTTTTAGTCTCAGCCATTCTAGTGAGTGCGTATGGGATCTTATTTTAAGTAGCATTTTCCTAAAGATCAATGATAGTGAACATCTTTTCATAGGATTATTTGTCATTTACATATTTACTTTCTTCAGTGAAATTTTTTTCCTATGATATAAGAGTTTCAAGAAATATATATATATGCATATATTCAGGATATGTCTTTTAAAGATGTTCTACAAATACTCCTTCCTAGTCTCTAAGCTTGACTTTTCATTTTTTAAAAAACTTATTTATTTAAAAAAAATTCTTAGAGGGGTAATTAGGTTTATTTATTTATTTTTTTAATGGAGGGACTGGAGACTGAACCCAGGACCTCATGCATACTAAGCAAGCACTCTTACCACTGAGCTATGGCCTCCCTCAACTTTTCATTTTCTTAAAAATATCTTTCAAAGAGTTAAAGTTTAGAGTTTTACTTTGAAGTCCACTATATCAATTTCTTCCTTTATGGTTTGTGCTTTTTGTGTCCTAAGAAATCTTCACCTGCTCAATCACTTCTTCTTCTTTTTTTTTGGGCAATAAGTTTTTTTTTTTTAATTAAAAAAAAAAGACTGGCCTGCAAGCCTTCTGCTGAGAAATCTGCCGATAGCCATATGGGGGTCCCCTTGTATGTGAGGAATTCTTTTTCTTTTGCTGCTTTAAAATTTTTCTCTTTGATTGTAGACAGTTGTGTTATAATGTGTGTTGGAGAAGACAGTTTGGGGTTAAAATCTGGGGGAACCTATGAGCTTCATGATCTTGGATATTCAAATCCGTCCTCAGATTTGGGAAGTTCTCAATCTTTAAATAAGCTTTCTGTCCTCTTCTCCTTCTGGGACTCCAACAATGTGTGGCTTGTTTCTGTCAGTGGTGTCCCACAGTTCATGCAGGCCTTCTTCAGTCTTTCTCGTTCTCTTTTCTTTGTTTTCCTCCGACTGGATCATTTTCGATGACCTAACTCTGAGTTCACAGAGTCTTTCTTCCTCTGTACAAAGTCTGATATCGATGCTCTCTATTGCATTTTTCATTTCATTCATTGTAATCTTCAGCTCCAGAATGTTTCTTTTTTGTTTCTGTTTCTCTGTTAAGCTTCTCATTTTGTTTGTGTATTGTTTTCCTGATTTCATTGTACTGTCTTTCTGTTTTCCTCTAGCCCACTGAGCTTCCTTCAAACTGAACTCTTTACCGGGCAAATCTCAGATACTCGTATCTCTGGGGTTGGTTACTGGAAAATTATTGAGTTCCTTTGGTGGTGTCATGTTTCCTTGACTTCTTATGTCCCTTGAAGTCCTGGGTTGCTGTGTCTGCATTTGAGGAAGCAGTTGTCGCCTCCAGTTTTCGCTGACTGGCTTTTGGAGAGAAATACCTTCCATCAGTCCTGCTAGGGATTCTGAGGCTTCTCAGACCTTTCCTGTGGACACACGCGCTTCATACTGCTTGTTCTGTCTCATGGGGGAAATCTTAGGGTCAAATGTCTTGATCCTACAAAGCCAGGCTGCGTGCTGACAGCCTCCGGTTTGCCTGCTTTCCCTAGGGCGGTCCTGAGTGCTCAAGTGCCTGTGCTTTCCCAGCCCCACAGAGTCCGGCTGGCTCTCTGCATGAGCTCACCAGCTCTCTGCCAGGGCTCAACACTGCCACCCTGGGTGGTAAGCAAAGGGAGCTGGCCACGGGGTGGAGGGGAGTATGGGTGAGGCATGCAGAATGTTGGGGTGTCTGGGCCATTTGGGGAGATCTGCAGGTGAGGAGTCCCCAGCAGCTCACTGGCAGGCTTCCTAAAAGAGTCTGTGAGGGGTTAGGAGGATTTTTGTTCCTTTGATGCCATCTGAGAGCCCTGGGTGCTGTCCTCTCAACCACTCCCCCTTTTCCCTGGTCATGTAGCACCCCTCAGGATTCCAGATGGGTTAAGGAAGAAGTAGGTCTTCTTGGCAGCACCCTGCACAGCTAGAGCAGCTGGGCCCTCATCACCCGCTCTCCCTTTCCTCTGTGAGAGAACTCTCAGGCTGAGTCTCTCTTGGTGCCGAGCTGTGCCACCTCGGGGGCCGGGGGACGTGGGTAAAGGGAAACTATCCCTATTACCCTCTTCAGTGTGCCCAGCCTTCGATTTTCCCCCTCCAGTGGCAAGCTAGAATGTCTCCACTGGACCTGTGTACCTCCACAAAGGCCCTCCCGTTCATGGGTGACTGTGTAAATCGGTGTTCTTTGGGGAGAGACAGAAAGCTCTTATTCCACCATGTTGATGACATCACCCCATGCGGCCCATGGACGGTGGGCCTGAATGGTTTATTCTCTGCTGTCCCCTTATCTCCTACATGCATTTCAGAATCAGCTTGTCAGGTTCCTCAGAATATCCTCTTTTGCATCTGGGGAGAACAAACACTTTTAGGCTGTTGTCTTCCAATCATTAACAGAGCTGTTTTCTTCATTTTTTTAGGTCTTATTTTTTAGTAAAGTTTTAGCATGTTTTCTATAAAGCCTTAAGATGTGAACTCTTGAGTAAGGTCCAGAGTGAAACAGTGGGCAGTCCTGGCTTCTGTTGACCCAGTTGACTCAGAATGATGTTACTTCAGGCATTTCTTAGGATTCAGGGAAGTTGGTACAGGGATCAAAAGGCAGAAGTTCAACTTGTCCTCCAGGATGATTGTATGTACATATGCAACATTTGTAAGAAAAAACATTGTAGAGAAGAGTAACTGATAATAGAGAAATAGAGACTCACCCCAGTCCTAGTGTAAATAGGAGAAACTATCCAGCCAAGAAGACAGAGCATAAACGGAGCCTGAAACCAAGAGAAGAAGGATTACTTCAGGGTCCCAGCGAGGCCATGCTCCTAAATAAGATGCAGGCTCAGTTACTATCTGTTTGGAGCGTAATAAATCTATCACTACTGGGGACCTTGCAAATAACAGCCCAAACATATCCTTTCCAGTAAAATAAACCCAACTTATAGGCATTTGATAGTTTTAAAAAATCAGAAACCATTAAGAGAAATGGTAGAGAAACTATACCCAAATGTACACAAGTTATTGAAATTAAGTAATACATTGGCTCTGGCTTTCTTTACAAAAAAGGGGTAAGTAAGTTGAATATATGAAGGAGATGCCAGTAAATTCTGAGAGGTATAGGGTGGCAAAGACCAGGGTTTCTTACTAGGTTTGCAACTGACTCTGCTAGAAGTGTTCTTTATTTGTAGTCTACCAGAAGAAAGATGAGACCCAGAAAGTAGGGAGCATTCTGATTTATTTGAAAAAAAAAAAGATCAAGTGATTTATATAGATAGGTTAACAAATCCAAGACTTACAAATTCACTTCTGATTTAGGTGAACAAAGTCTACGCCCTACCACAAATAGACTCCACAGTTCAGATAAATAATGTATTTTATAAGCTTGATAGTTGAAGCCTGGTATTCGTAAGAGATCAATTAGGAGCTCTGTAGTAACCTGTAGAATATCTCAAAGAGCTAAGCTGACCCTTGAACAATGTGGGGGTTAGGGACCACGACCCCCACATAGTCAAAATCTGTGTAATGCTATGTCTGCCTCAAAAACAAAGGAATTGATAAATGACACCCAAAGGTAGGAAGCTGAAACAGCCTGGACAGAATCGGACTCTAAACCTAGTTCTTTTGATTCCACATATTGTGATCTCTAATTGAACACAAACTTTCTCTCACACCTCGTCAGCTTAAAAATCTGTGAAATGAAAATATGGGTGCTATATTTATTGAAAAAAAATCTGCATATAAGTGGACCTGAGCTGTTCAAACCCGTGTTGCTCAAGGGTGAACTGTATACTGCAAATGTACACATACAGACATATATACACACACATATACATGTAAGTCTGTATACACATATAAACGTACGTATATGTACATAAATGTTTATGTACATATATATTTCAGCATTAATGTGATCTTTTCCTTACCTGGCTAGTCTCCTAACTGTATTCCTATGATCCTTGGAATGTAAACATTCTCTACCTCCTCATAAATTTACAAAGAAGAATGAAAACTGGCACTATTTTTTTGAGAAATCAAAGACTTGGTCTCTTCTTCCATGACTTCTAAAGGAGTCTTTAATATTTACTTAAGGTTGAAAGCAAGTTTTTATTTGGACAATGATAAAGGCGGAGGTTAGCTACTACAAAAAGTACTACTTACAATCCACTCGAAGGCCCCAATTGCAATCCCTGAAGTCGCTCCTTTTCCAGCCAGGCCCATAACGTGGCCAGCGCCCATATTTGAGGCAAAAAGAAAAGCACCTATCTGAAAATCAAAAGACAAGGACAGATCAGAACTAAGAACTCTCAGTCCAACTCCAAGAACTAATTTTCACAAATGTAAACTCAAACTGAATTTTGAATTTTCTCTAAAGGGATTACACCCTGTGCAGAATCCCACTTGTGTTTCTCCTACATGAAGGCAAGCGAAAAGGGATAAATTGAACAGCACAAACACCTTCTTCCGCTGCCACCCTCCACATGCCCACGGGCTTCTCTGCAGTTGCAGAAATATTAGCAGAAGTATAATTTGATTAATGTTTTAAGTAATTAAAAAATACTAACAATCTGATTATGAGAGACTGGTTAAAATACTAAGGAACATGAATGTGATGAAATGCAATGTAGCACACAGAAAGAATAAAGCAGCTCTATGGAGTGATAAAAATAAGGTAAACAATACTTATAACTTCATCAAAAGTTTGTGTATACATTTTACACTCCTGTACATGTATGTTTATGTGTAGATAGGAGTAATTCTGGTAGTATATTTATAAAAAATACTTCTGGGGACTGGAATCATAGTTATAGAAAAGGAATGGGGAGAAAAGTTCAAGTTTTATGCATGGATTGTAACTTTTTCTTTTTACAACCAACATCTATTACTTTCAAAATAAAAAATCCCAGAGGCATTATAAATGAACAAAATCCCTCCTAAATCAGCAACAGTTTTTTAATCGAGTAGAAATAGCCACTTCCTGCAAAGTCCAAATACTGTGCTGTTGACATAAGATACACTTTAAACAAAATTTTAATTAAGAGAGACTGAAAATAACAAGACCTTTTGGGTAAAAACAAACAAAAAACTCAGCATTGACAATATTACCACTAGATAAAGTAGCATTCAAGGCCAAAAACATTAAATAAGACAGAGGTTTTGATTTTTTAAACCATGAAACATAAAATGCCCTAGTTAAGACATAATAGAAATCTGAAAAGATACATGCACTGCAATGTTCATAGCAGCATGATTTACAATAGCCAAGACATGGAAACAACCTAAATATCCATCAACAGATGACTGGATAAAGAAGCTGTGGTATATTTATACAATGGAATACTACTCAGCCATAAAAAATAATAAAATAATGCCATTTGTAGCAACATGGACGGACCTAGAGATAATCATTCTAAATGAAGCCAGAAAGAGAAAGAAAAATATCATATGATATCACTTACATGTATAATCTAAAACAAAGACAAATGAACTTATTTAGAAAACAGAAACATGTCTTTACATTGTTTAAAAATACTGAAGTGTTCTACCATACAATTTTTCCCTGTATTGGATGGCTAGGATTCTGGAGAATTGATTATAAAATATTTTCAAAAAAAAAAGAAAACAGAAACAGACTCACAGAAAAAGAAAACAAACTTATGGCTACCAGAGGAGAAGGGAGTAGGAATGGATAAATTGGGAGTTTGAGATTGGAAGATACTAACTACTATATATAAAATAGATAAACCACAAGTTCATACTGTATAGCAGAGAGAACTATAGTCAATATTTTGTAGCAATCTATAATGAAAAAGAATATGAAAAGGAATATATATGTATGACTGAACTATTATGCTGTACACCAGAAATTGATACAATATTGTAAACTGACATATTTCAATTTAAAAAAACTAAAAAAAAAGACCTAATTGAGAACATACAGGCACCAAACACCTCAGACACAACAAATATAAGGCAAAAGGAATCTTAGACAAGGCACATAGTAAATGCTCAAGTAGTTATTTTTACTACTAGGGATGTTAGCTACCTTTATCATAATAATGGAAAATTATATACAGTCTAAATTGCCCAGTAATGTGGTACATAAATGGTGAGTGTCCATGTGATGTAATACTATTCAACCACATAAAAATACAACATACCTATATCTACCTATGTTTATACAGCCCTAGGAAGATACATTATTAAATGAAAAGGTAGGTTAAAAAGTCACCATTCATGAGTTCAGTAACTATTAATAAATGTCTATTGCCAACTATGTGCCAGAGAGTGCTATAGGCACTAGGGATACATTAGAGAGTCAAACAGGCAAATCCCTGCCCTCATGAAGCTAACATTCTTTTAAGAAGAAGAGGGTAAACTAAATGAATTAGGGGATTATTTTACAGCACAGGGAACAGTAGTAAACACTAAAGTCCTAGAGAGAAGTGCTTGGGAGAATGTCCTCCAGGAGAGTTGAGTGCCAGGCTGGGCGTATCTGCAGAGAGCGAGCAGCAGGGGCAAAGGCCCTGAGGCAGGAGCCTAGCTGAACTGTTCCAGGTCACAGAGGGGAGGTAAGGGGTGCAGGTCATCTGTGGCCTAACAGAGGCTGGGCTTTCATTGTGGGTGACATGGGAGCCCCCAGAGGGTTTCAAGCAGTAAGATGACATGGTCTGACCTGAGTTTAATAGGCTCCCTTTAGCTGCTCTGAGGGTTAGACAGGGGGAAGGAGGGATGCTGGGGGCATAGACCGGGAGGCAGAGCTGACGAGAAGGAGGCAGATTTCAAATCTGCTTTCAAAGTGAGTTCACAGGACTTCCTGACAGGCTGGATGTTGAGGTGAGAGAGAATAAAGGATCTAACACGACTCCTTGCGTGTCAACCTAAGCAACCAGAAGGATGGGGCGCTGTTCAGGGACAGGGAAGCCGGGGGGGGGGCAGATTCACACAGGGAGGCCCACAGTCCCCTCTGGACACAGTCCGTGTGGGAGACCAGACAGATCGCTCAAGGGCAAGTGTCAAATGGGCAGCGGGACACACAAGACTGGATTTCAAGGGACAGAGGCTGGACTTGTTAGCATGCCGTTGGCATTTAGTGCCATGAAACTAGGTGTGCGAGGAGAACTGGAGAGAAGAGGCCAGGATCTGGCCCTGGGGACTCCAGTGCTAACAGCTGGGAGCTGGGGGAGAACCGGCCGGGGAGACAGCAAACAAGAGGCTGGCAGAGCAGCAGGAAAGCAGAGTGGTGACAGAGCGAGGTGGGAGGGAGGCCAAACCTTAGAGTTTCACCACTGCTAAGCCAGGTATGATGAGGCCTGAGCACTGACCATGGGGACAGGCCACATGGAGGCCGCACAAGAGCAACACAGACCCATCGGGTATCTGCTGACTGAATACAAATATAAAGAAGAAAGATGGAGTGGCAAAATTACTCTTTTATTTCACTTTTCTTTAATAACAGAGTTTGTCCATTAAGCAACAATTCTAATAATGAAAAAAGAAGTCACAGTAAAGAAATTAATAAATCATAACACATACAAACATTGGGAGGCCAAAGCACACTAATGTCTTTGGAAAACCACGGCCAGAATCACAGTTAAGAAGGCTAATGTGGTGCAGACTCTGCCATTCCTCTAGGTACAGAAAACATGACTCCAAGGCCTGAGAGTGGTTCCGGCCAAAGACTGGGGGTCTTGGCCCAGAAGAGATGGTGTTGCTAGAATCCCCTGCTGAAAAATAAAGTAAGGTAGGAAGCCCAGGGCAAACATTTCTTTGCCACATTCAATCTCTTTCTAAACCAGGTTTACAAAAAAAGAAGATTCAAGCATAAGTCAGAGAGTTAACATCAAGAAAATACTCCTCCCCAAACCTCCCAGAGACACGAGGCAAAGCCATCAGGTGAGGGCAGCTGATCCCCCAGGTCAACGAGTGCGCCTCCCTCCTCCCTTTGAACAAAGGTGCCTTCTCCTCCCCAAACAAGGCTTTGCTCCGTGAAGCGGGACCCCAGTGTGAAAGTTGGACTCCTCCCTGTCAAGCTGCTTATCACTGGAGGACAAAGAGTGTGAGCGAGTGAGGGCCAGCTCCCTGCACAAGTCTCCCAGTGTAGCTGATGTCCCTGTGCAGGGGACCTGTGCTTAATCCTAAGTAACAAGTCACAAAGCAGCCCTGGTTCAGGCTTGGCTTGGTCCTCAGACCCTGGGCTCTGCTGGGTCCCCACAGCCTCCTCCTCCATGGGGCATTGCCCTCCTCCCATCACGAGTGCAGGCCACAAAAAGGCAGCTGACTCTGCCATGTGAGGGTCTGAGGGCTCCTCTCAGGTGACTCACTTTGTAAAATGAATAAGCTCTTTAAGCACGTACACAACGAGAAACGTCTCCAGCCCTCCATCTGCTTCTCTCCCTCCGTCCGGCTGGTATCATGCTGTTCCCCCCACCTCCACGCTTCTGCACCTGCTGCTCCCTCTGCCCTCACACTCCATCACCATCCCTGCAGCCCCACCTCTGGAAGACCCTTCCATCTTGCACTACCCACGACTCCACCAGTGATCCTGAGCTCACCTCTCATCCATACCTGGCCGTGTGCCTCCTGTGGGACTGGCTGTCCTGCACTGTAATGCATGGATACACATCCAACCCCATTTTACACTGTGTGCTTCTGAGGGGCAGGACTCACTGCCTCCTATGTGGGTCCCGGAACCTAGGGCAATGCCTTGTACATACCCAGCACTTCATAAATGATTACTGAACTAAACTGAGTTGAATGGAAACATACAGGTAAGAAACTACTTAAGACTTAAGGGGACTAATGAAATGATTTTCCTGATTTAGCAACTTCCAATTATTTGAGGTATAAGACATCCAAATTAAAGTGATAAACAAATCCACACACAACCCCTAAAGGACCGCACATGCGAGGCAAACTCACCTGCCACCACGGTAGATTTCGGCCAGCCAGGAAGAAGTCTTCGACTGTCCCACGATTGCTTGACAGTATAGCCTTAAAAAAAAAAGGAGGGAATCCAAGAAATCAAACTGCTTCAAAGACACAGATCTGACAGACAGACAACATTCACTTATGGGGAAATGTCCTTCATGGAGACCCCCCCCAAACACCTTCCCCCCTTCATTCTTTTTAGGAACAGAAGCCCCTGCCCGCTGAGTTCGAGGAGGGCCACAGTCTGTCCCAGCTGTGAGACTCATGGGCATGCCCATGTCTTTACACTCTTGTGAAAGTAATATGGCTTTATTCTTACCCCAAATAGTTAGTTTACCAGTGCCATGGTCTGCAGCAGAGTCTGGGAGATGAGTGGTTTGGTGACTGCATCGATCATTCGGGAAACAGCAAGGCTGAACACAAGCCTAGCTTTCTTGAGGAGAGCAGCCACCCTGTCGTTACTATGGTGTCCCCACAACGTGTCCAGGGCTCTCTGCTCAGGTCCCCAGCTCTGACCCTTAGACCTTGGGATTGTCAAAAGATAGTCCTGGGGGTTTCCTGGGTCGCCTAGGACTAGCGCAACCCAAGAATGGCCGCTGGTCGACACAAACATGTTTCTGTGGGAGGAATAGACTTAAGACTGCCCTCCGGGGGGGTACCTGCGTTATAACCGAGTCCTCTCACATCATAAAGCCATAAACCAAAGAACAAGTCTCTAAATCAGAGGCATTAAGTTAGTCTCATTTCATCCATTCACTAAATGTCTATCAAGAGCCTATGATGCCCAGAGCCGACTTTTCCTAAGGACGGCATCAGTGGTATGCAGGTAGAGGTGTGTTGAAACTTTTAAAAGGGATTTACACAACATTCTAAGATGAATAAAATTACTCTCTCTTTTCATTAAAGAAAGAACCAGACAGGAAGAGACGAGGTCAACGGAAGAAGGCGGTCATAAACATGTCTCTGTCTTTTCTTTCCTCTTTCTGGAATAACATGCCAACCGCGGCAGCCAGGCTGCCAGGTGGAAGACGCATCCACCACTTGCTCAAAGATCTCTGGGCTGAGACCAATAACAGACGAAACAAACAAACCCAAGTGTAAGTTTTTTCCCCTTTAACATCCTGTGGGAGCCAAGCACCAGCAACACCACCAAGATCTCCCTGCGGGGGCTCAGCAGACAGAGGCTGATGAATGCTTTCAGAAAGAAATCCTCAATTCAGGTTCAAAGGGAACACTTACAGCCCTAAATTACATATGACCTCTGAGGTCTTGCAAACAAGGCCATGTGGTGAAGGTCTTGAGTCATATAGGACAGCCTAGGTTCAAACCTGCACTCCTTCATTCCCTGGCAGTTACTTGACCTCTCGGAACCTCAGTGTCCTCCTCTGTGATACACAGCTTGGCTAGAGAACGTGATGCACTTAAGGTACTCAAGACAGACCAGACACTTTAGCGTCCAATGATGGGTAGCTGTCACCACTGCCACCACCATCACGATGATCAGAACAACGACTGCGCATCACACACGGCCTGGGTTCCAGGCCGCGGGCACCTGGCTGCCTGACCTGTTTATTTTACGGGGTGGGGAGGGAAGGTGGGCCTGGACGTGCCCTTAGTCTTGGTGGGGAGTAGCAGGCCGAGAGGGGTGGGTGGAGAGGCCTCGGCTGAGGGCTGCGCACCGGCACGGGCGGGGATAAGAGGGATGAGAGATGCGAGGTGGGGACCAGGCGACAGGCGGGGGTGGGGTGGGTCGCACCCGCCTGGTGTCCGGAGCCCACCCACCCTAACCCCGCGCTGGGTACCCCGTGCTGGGCCCCACGTACCCACAGCCCGACGACCAGGACCAACATGAAGT